TGAAGTTCAGACCTGTAGGTGGACCTCTTCCTGTTATTCAAAGGTCAGAGTCTTCAGTTGTACCTCTATGGAAATCGTTCAGTGTTGCCAAAGACAACCAGATTGTCATCCCATAGAATAGAATAGAATAGAATTTATTGATCCCACAGTTGGGTAATTCATTTATTACAGCAGCACCAACACTTAAGGGAATACTTTGAAGAAAATAATAACAATGGTACTTGTATATACACATAGGCAGTAGACTAGAATTGTGACCTTCGACCACTAAATACCAAACATAAAAAAGGATAAAACTTGGGTTACAACAATATGCAGCATACTGCAAGAGACACGGACATACTATGTAAATCTGGTATTGATGAGTATTGAACACATAATGAATATTGCATTGGTGTTATTGTGTACCAGGATAATGCCAGTGCAGCTTAAACTGTGGAGTTTTACATTCTTACTGCAGAGGGGATGAATGACTTATGGTAGCATTCTGTTTTACATGCGTAAATGCATATATGTGTGTGTAATGCAAACACACCAGAGGATGGTGTTGGTATGTGCAGTGATACCGGATTACCTGGTTACTTGTCAGAGGAAGGCAACAGCCAGTATGTTTACATGCACATCTGAGTCCAACTTAAGTTGATCTACGGTAATAAACCGGGAGCTTTTATCTTTTTTACACAAATGTTATAAAAACAAATTATTGAATGGTATGGTAATCAGCAACATGCACCCTTTCATGTCGGATTCGTTCCAGTTAGCTTACAGTGACACAAATAGTCAACAAAAGCTAGCAGGGGTAAAGCAGAAGGAGGAAAAACAGGATACGCAACATGGCCAACAACGCTGCAGCACAGCTTATTTGGTACGTGTTGTACTGCTTGGTGTTACACATGTTACTTTTTGGCAATCAGTGCATTTACTTGCCCATCAGAAAACCAAACTATTGCCCTAAATAGACTGAAATGCGTTAGTCTTGCTGAAGGCGAATTGGTTCTAATCTTGACTAGGCAGTGGAAACGGTCCTCTGACCATCGTTTATGATATTCATATCATGGCCACAAAGTAGCATGTGTAACACCATCAAACAGTACAGTACGTTCCAAATAAGCCGAGCTGCAGGATTGTTGTTGTCCATTTCTTCAGCCATCGTGCATATCCTGTTTCAGTTCCATCTGCTTCACTCCTGCCAGCGTTTGTTTACCACTTGTGCTGCTACAAGCTAACCGGAAGAATGTCCACTAAAAGGGCACATTCCGCCACCTACTGTAGCAAAGTGGAACGAACTTCATTTGAGAGTTTGTTTTTCTAACATACACGTAGACTAGGATGAAGGCTCCCAGTTTATTACCTCAGATCGACCTAGATCGACTTAGATGTGCACGTAAACACACTGAATGATATTATCAGAAGTCTGCATCCACAGTCTCATCACTTCCGAAATGCAAGTGTCCAACCGGTCACAGCTCGCCTGAGCTGTTTACGTGCAGAGTAAGTTGGTTTCCTTGGTACTTCAGCTCCATTAGAACCAGTTTAACTTCAGTCAGTCTAATGCATTTAGAAACATTTTAAACAATCCGACTTCAGTCGACACAAGGCGTATATTTTGGTTTAAAGATGCTGCATGTAAATGCACTGACTGGGGCTAAATAGACTGGATAACATTGCAATATTTAAATATTTTGAGCAATTTATACACATGGAAAATGTTTGATTTGTTGGCTGCTTGTTGGAAAACTACTGGGTCATTGTGATACGTTTACCACCAAATATGCAGATTCTTATCCGTTAATAACATCATTGTTTTACAGCTGGAAATCCTTATTGGCTCTAGAGCAGTGCGCAGCAGACTGGTGCTTGTATGGCTCACATGGACATGCATGCAGCATGGCGTCTGCTAATTTTACACTCAATAAAAACAGATTTCACCTACTTGTTTCTACTGCAAACAAAGCATCCAGCTAAGCACCAGCAACTTCTATAAAAACTGTTTTTCTTTCAGTGTGTCGCCCTGCCCCCACTTCTTTCCACTCTGCAGTTTGCTTTAAAGCACCATGATAATCAAAGTACAGTGTGTGCTCCAGATTTAGAGTCGGATATTTAAACACGATGTGGTAGCAGGCATGTTTCGATTCGTCCTGAGAGGCAAGGGGACCGGCTGACAAGGACACGAGTGTGAGTAGGACAGGATCAGTCTGCTGTAATTATCTGGGATGTAAATAGAAAAACAGACATGCATATAGGCTCAAATTGCAGAAATATGGCTAGCCGCAATCTTTAGTAACCTCACACGATTTCATCAACCCATTGCATCAAAGGGCTAACACAATGGGAGGAAGCATTGTTTTATCACCTTGTAAAATCGTTTCCACCTTTTTTTACCCTCTACAGCAGCACTAACACAAGCAACATTAGCTCATACCTTTAATTATTCCAGATATGTTTCAGACTACCCCCAACTGGCTGCATGCAACAGGCCATAACATGCAGATGTGTTAGCAAAGCGCCAACGCAGCACTGCCACAGGAACACGTTAAAGCTCTTAGGAGCCCATTTGTCCTAATGATCACGCCACCACATGTCTGCTCGGGGTTCCTGCAGTGGAACGGTGGCTGTTGTAGAGTAATTGCCCCAAAAGTGCAATAAACGTCCTAATGAGCCCTATACTCCCAGCAGGCATTGTCATCATTGACCCATTGAGTTCTTTTGTCATTCTTAACTATTGTCTTTTCCTTTGTGCTGTCTGCTGCAGCCAAATTAGACACCAAATTGTGTAAAAATAAGAATTCAGCAGCATTGTCTTACTGATTCAGTCTGTTTTGCGTTTTTGCTGTTTGTTTGATTTTTATTTATTTATTTGACTGAGAGACCAGAAAGTCGATGTATTCGTCAGTTCATTTGTTGCAGCATGACCTATTGACTAAATGTTTTAGCCTCCCTGCTCTGTGTTATGTCAGAAATATTAGGTCACTGAAATGTTCTTTTGTCTCCTGAACATGCACCAAATGGTGATTATAAAAGAGGAGGCTCATTTATCTAACCTGTGTTTCTATTTCTTAGAAGCACACTAAGCCGGCAGCCCACTTTCTGTCTGTGTTTTGTTAGGCTGAAAGCAGTGAAGCAGCATGATATTCCCAGGTTTATGCACGGCTGTGGATTTGTGACATGATTCATATTGCTATAGCAACCCAAGCTACGGGGATTAGATGCTGTATGGGGCGTGCAGGTTGCCTGCAACCAGTTGTCTTGATTTTATTTGCATCTTGCTCTAATGCTTAGCAACTTTACGCCTGCAGTTGTGTAAGGAGCTTTTCAGTAAATGTAGGTCTTAATTATCACTCCCTGCCCAGAAGGCAAGAGGCAGGTAATGTTTATTCTCTTTTCTTTTTTTTCATGCATTTTGTGCATTTGCTCGCAAAATTTCTCCTGGAAAAACTGGATGGGTGTTAATAAAAATCAGAGTGCACAATTATTTTTGGAGTCAACAACAGCTAATCGATAATCGCAGCATAACTCTCTCCAACACACACTATTCCAAATAAATGAATCACCTTAGGTGTGTGAACATTTGTAATGCTACAGTTTCTGTTGAATGGAAAGACTCAGCAGACTTGGACTCCTTTAATTACTTGAGTGGATAAACTATAGAACAGGACTGTTTCTGGTCCCCCGGATGGCCCATTGTTTAGTCAAAAGAGTCCTAAAGCTGGGGGAGTCGTGTAATGGATGGTGGCATCTGATAGGGGGATTGCTGCTGCTGTCCTGAGCTCCTCTGGGCTGCCTGTTAATTACATCTCCAGTTGTTTGGTATGTAGCCGTAGCTGCTCTGGGAGCAGCGGCTGCTCCGCTTTGATGTGGTCAGCCCTTCATTGTCCCATATGTAAGCTAATTACCTCAAAGAAACACTCTGTGGTTAAAGCAGGACGGAGAAGGAGATGGGTCACGTTTTGCTTTTATGAATATTTCTATTATTTTCAAGGTTTTATTTGATGTCCTGCTTTGTACAGTCAAGGTTTACTCTGTTGGGGTCCTGCCCTCATGAGAAAATTACTACGCAGTATTTTCTCCAAAAGACTGTGCTATCTACGCCCTGAAGCGTAGACAAATAAGGCATATTGAGATCAGCGCCAGCAGGGATTCCATGTCCCATGATTCCCTGCAGCCGGCTCGTTAAAATAATTTTACGAACTTTAGACAGATTGATAGAGGTTTGGATTCATTTTTCCCCTATTAAAGGGGTGGTGCCCCGAGGCATATCCACGGATATCCTAATTACGTAATAAATCGGTAAATATTTCCATATTTACGAATTTTATTGATGAATCCAAAAAGTAAGTAAAGCTTATAATTTTTTTGTTGGCTAATAACCACAACAACTCCGACTGAAAGAAAAGCCCAAGGCGAGCAAGTGAATAATTTATTACGAGTAACATGTTCAACTCTGGCTAAATGCCTTTTTGTAATTGGGACAGCACCGGTCCATTTTGCACGGTGTGTCTTGTTGCTACGCTACCGAAGCAAGTCTTGTGTGGGCTAGGACGTATGGAATGACAGCCAAGCAGTTTTCATACTTGACACCACCCATTCATGTTTCTGTGAAATACCCATCCCTTTACCTCCCAGAGGGAAGGCGTGAAATGGTTTTACACGAACATGTCCCAACTCATTCTCGGGTTTCAGTTTGGCTCCTCTGTTCTCCTTCCAGTTGTTTGTACTTCTAACGTCCTCCTCCTAGACGAACTATGGATTCACAGGTTAGTTAGTTCGGATTTGCCATCAAAGCCTGGAATAATGCGTCAGTGGAGCAGAGCGGAAGTGAGCGTGAGCTAACGGGCTGGCCGCCCTGTTTGTGTTGGTGTCTGCACGTGACTGCATGAGCGAGCACAGCTCAGAACAAACCCAGGATCTTTTGATATTTGTTGAATGCCACATGCCTTAACCACTTATCTAAATGTTCATCACCACTTCTAATTTCATTTTCTTTCGCTTTTCCTTTTTAGGAGTGAGCTCAGCCTTCCATCAAACCTCCCTCCCTCCCTCCCCCCCTCTCTGTGGGCTAAGATGAGTATTACCAGTGACGAAGTCAACTTCTTGGTGTACAGATACCTCCAAGAGTCAGGTTTGTCTGACAGAGATCGTAACTGTTGAAAAAGATCTGATTTTTTTTAGTATTTCTGTAAACAAAGCACACCGGTGGATAATCACTGATTCTGAGAAAGAAAACAAACAAAAATTCTCTTTTGTGGAACTCCTTTGTGTTCTTTGTAGTTCTAATCTGCGCTGAAATCTGGATCCTAAACCTTTTGAGTCAGAAATTGAAATCCTAGCTGTGGTTTATTGAGAATGCCTGAAGCCAGGAGACTTGTGTGTGTATGTGCGTGTGTGTGTGTGTGTAAGCATTTAACAGATCGACTCTGGCATTCCTCATCATCTTACAAAAATATTGGTATTCACCTAATTCTTTTGGCTTTAACACAACTCGTCCTTCAATATTTGTGCTGTTTGCTCACATCTTGGCATGCTGTTTGGGCTCCAGGTTTTTCTCACTCAGCATTCACCTTTGGCATCGAGAGCCACATCAGCCAGTCGAACATCAACGGAACACTAGTGCCCCCTGCAGCCCTCATCTCCATCCTGCAGAAGGGGCTTCAGTATGTGGAGGCAGAAATCAGCATTAATGAGGTAACTCCAGCAGATCCTCACACACCGGGGCAACTTCAAATGCTTTTCACATGTCAGATTATGTTGAACTTTACAAAACATTGAGAGAGAATAAGGAAATTAGTCTTGCACAAAAAAAAAATCTCATTTGCTCATTTGACAGGACGGCACGGTTTTTGACGGTCGACCGATCGAGTCGCTGTCGCTCATCGACGCCGTGATGCCAGACGTGGTGCAGACGCGGCAGCAGGCTTTCCGGGACAAACTGGCCCAGCAGCAGGCCTCGTGCGCCATCACCGCCTCAACCTCTGGAAACCAGTCGAATGCACCAAAGAATGGAGAGGCCACCGTTAATGGAGAGGAGAATGGCACCCACAACATGAGTGAGTCGAGTCTTCTAAAGACGAGCTGAAATGTACAAATAGGTCCAGTTTTAGATGAATAGTGAGGTTTATTTTATTTTTCTTTATGTGACTATAAACATTCGGTTTCACTTTGATCATTTAGCCTAATTCAGTGAATCTGGGGCGTGTTTTTATTTAATAGCAAACCAACAGCACACCAGTCAAGTGTTTGCCATCTCTCTTCAGATAACCATAGCGAGCCCATGGACATGGATGTGGATGTTGAGATTCCAGCCAGTAAAGCCACGGTGCTCCGAGGTCACGAGTCAGAAGTTTTTATCTGTGCCTGGAATCCTGTCAGCGATCTGCTGGCCTCCGGGTGAGCCCGCCTGTCCAGTCCCCGATGTCTCCTGCTGTATTTCCTTTGTCTTCTAAACGTTTGCTGTGTTTGATTCAGCTCGGGCGACTCCACCGCCCGCATCTGGAACCTGAATGAGAACAATAACTCCAACTCCACCCAGCTGGTGCTGCGGCACTGTATCCGAGAAGGTGGCCAGGATGTTCCCAGCAACAAAGACGTCACCTCACTGGACTGGAATGTAGGTTTCAGATCAGGTGTCCTCATCTGTCCTCTGCTCTGTGGACAGATAAGAGCTGTGTTTCCTTTCCTTCCACCAGAGCGATGGGACACTCCTGGCAACAGGCTCGTATGATGGATTTGCCAGAATATGGACAAAGGACGGTATGTCCTCCATCACTGACACAAAAATCCAAATATTTTTGAGAGCTATCTTCTAAAACAAATGGATTTGACTTTTATTAAACAGGAAATCTGGCCAGCACCTTGGGGCAGCACAAAGGACCCATATTTGCACTCAAGTGGAACAAGAAGGGGAACTGTATTCTCAGTGCCGGAGTAGATAAGGTGCGATTCCAGGATGGAGTCTGATGCGATCCTAGAGTGGTCTGGTGGTAAATCTGCTCTTTCATTTATGTTTTTAGTCCTTTTTTTAAATGCACCTTTCATTTTCCAGACGACAATCATTTGGGATGCACATACAGGAGAAGCCAAGCAGCAGTTTCCCTTTCACTCAGGTGAGCAAGTTTGTTTTAATTGTTGTGTGTTTCCCGTTTCTGGGATTGCTGTGAGCATGTATCCGACCGTCCCACAGCCCCAGCGCTGGATGTCGACTGGCAGAACAACACCACCTTTGCTTCCTGCAGCACAGACATGTGCATCCACGTATGTCGCCTGGGCAGCGACCGGCCTCTCAAAACCTTCCAGGGCCACACGGTGAGCAGCTGGTCCACGTGACTGATCTGACCTTCGCCCCACGACCCTCTTAACCACTAGTGTTCTCTACAGAATGAAGTTAACGCCATTAAGTGGGATCCGTCAGGTATGCTGCTCGCCTCCTGCTCAGATGACATGACCTTAAAGGTAAGAGCGGTCCTCGGCTTTGAAGGGTGCGGAAAACAAACACAATGGGTGATTTGTACTTTGTTGTTGTCACACACAGATTTGGAGCATGAAGCAGGAGTCCTGTGTCCATGACCTCCAGGCTCACAGTAAAGAGATCTACACAATCAAGTGGAGCCCCACCGGCCCGAGCACAAATAACCCCAGCGCCAACATCATGCTAGCCAGGTACGAGGTTCAGCACTGCTTCCAGAAAGTTCATGATGTTCCTGTAAACAGACTCGTGGATGTTAAAGGGAAAAAAGTAACGGTCAGTGTCCCACATCCTGACCCAGATGTGTAAATGTTCCAGCTCAAAGGCCTCAGGAATTCACCCTGCACACCTGCCTTTAAATCACCCTGAAATAAACCAAACAAACTCTGTTTTGTGTCTTCTAACACGTCTAAACATCTCTTTCAGCTTTAATTTGCAACATTCACAGGATTTTTTTATATTTCTTGCACTGTTTTATTTATGCATTTTTCTATCAGAAGTGTTAATTAAAAGTCATGTTCCCACTTCCTGACTGAAGCATCTGTCGGTGTTTACTGTTGGAGTTTAGAAGACAAGCATCTTAAGCTTTATATTTTTGTGTTTTTTCCGCAAACAGTGCATCTTTTGACTCAACGGTGCGACTGTGGGACGTTGAACGAGGTAAATGCATCCACACTCTGACCAAACACCAGGAGCCGGTCTACAGCGTGGCCTTCAGCCCCGACGGCAAACACCTCGCCAGCGGCTCCTTCGATAAATGCGTCCACATTTGGAACACCACGGTAGGAGTCGGACCGGGTTTTAATCAGAACAAAGATACATTTCGTGGTTTATTTATCTTTTATTCTACTGTTTCAGACGGGATCCTTGGTGCACAGCTACAGGGGAACTGGTGGCATCTTTGAGGTGTGCTGGAACAGCACCGGAGATAAAGTCGGCGCCAGTGCATCGGACGGCTCGGTACGCTACGATTCACTTACATGATTACAAGTTTAAAATGACAGATGAGCTACAACGCTGCCTTCCTTTTCATTTATAGGTTTGTGTTCTCGATCTCCGAAAATAGCCGTCCTGAGGGTAGAACGACGAAACCTGGAAAGTGCAGAAATCTTCTGACGTCAACAAACGCTCTCCCAGCTCGATTAGGGCTGCTAAGGTGTACTGAAACCATCTCCCCTCAGGAGTTAAAGCAGCTCCAGCTCCACCTAAACTCCCTGCACCTTACTGTTTGTTGATGCGTGTTTTACGATAATCCCGAGAGAAGATGGAAACTGGCGGAGAACCCCCCCCCCCAAAAAAAAATAGTGGATTCCACTCCTAAGGCGCATCCATGTTATAAAAGGTTTCCAACGGAGACGTGCTGTGATCCCCGCAGGCTGCAGATCCAGCTGTTATCGGCTTGTGAGGGTGGAAAGATGAGTCAAGTTTTATAAAGAGAGAATAATGAGAGACAGGTGTTTGAGCTGTGAGAGGAAGGCTGCAGATTTATAATTCCTCTGGGGAAATGTTACTTCACGTCCAAACGAACCAGCAGGATGAAAGCAACAGATCCCCGACTCTGAAGCGCTGCCACTTTCATTTGACCAGGTGCTTAACTTCTCCCGCAGCGGAGCTTGTTTCAGAAGTACTCGTTGCTGTTTCTGTCCGTTCTCCACAAAAGGACTTTTGAGAGTCTGATTGAATGTGTCGCTGCGAGATAAATGTTAGCTAGTTTTTAAAATCAGGTCGACGTGAGGAAAACTCAACCAAGAAATAGTCTTAACCCCTTGAAAAAAGACCTGCGAGGAGCGGATTTCCTTTTTATACACAAGATGTGAAAAGTGGTTTACGAAGAGTTTTTCTCCCAGTTTGGATGTAAATTTCAAGAATGTAAAGAGGTGTAAATTAGATTAACACAGACTTATATACTGTGTATATATGTTTATATACAGTACACTTTATGTTTATCTATAGGGGCTCTTTATTGACGGAGCTATCACATCTCTTTATTGTCGGTGTGTGAGAAGAACGCTTTTAACAACGTGCATGTTTATCTGGCTCTTTTGACATCAGCTCGTCATTTTCATGCATCAACCTTTTATTTTCTTTTTGTTTAGTTAAAAATGTCATCAAGCAACACTGCTGCAGTCCGTAAAAGAAACCTGCACCTGGTTGTTTGCCTTCATGGGGGGCATTTTCAGTCTCCTGGTTGCTGATTTAAGGTTTTGTACTTCATGCAACAAATAAATCAGTCTCATCTGAATGAGTCGCCGTAATTCCAGCTGATCAGATTTAAAATACTAAAGAAAAAGACCTTATCTTTACACCTTTTTGTTAGTGATCCCCTTCATCTTTTAGATACCATCTAATAAAGCAACATGAAGTGCACTTTTTGGATTGGTGGATTCAGCAAATGTTCAAATTTAGTTAAAAAATGAAGGTCCAAATGTTGTATTTCTTTGTCCTTGGTTGGATTGTAAAATGTGTTGCTTTTCCTTTTCTTTCATTTGGTTTATTTTTTTGTTTTGTTTTTTTAATTTGCTGAAAGCCGTTATTGTCTGTGTCAGACTGAGAATTGGGCTGTGGGTTGGCGACTAGTACTGGCGTGCTAAAAAGCCCAAAATGGGACAAGTGCTGTGACAGCTTTATCTTTTTCATAACCCTGGTCCAGGGTGCTGTCGGATGTTTGCAAGACAAAACTTTGAAGTCATTCAGTGTCTCAAATAAATAAATTACTCTATTTTGATATCAGAAAACCTGCCTTTGTCTTGAATCCCTTGTTTTTCTTTCTTTTCAGCTAAGCATCATTTCATAATAACACCACAAATTAACAAATAACCACAAATTAAAATGTTGAAAGAGACTTTTTGAACACTTTGAAGTGCATCTCTGTGTAAATGTTAGAAATAGTTACTGTTTTACATTTTATCCATAGCTTCTTGAATGGCCTAAGTTCTGAGACATAGCTTATTAACGTGATTGATGCGCTAATGGCTAGTTTTAAAGTTAAAGGCTGTTCTGGAAGCTGTCTACAAATGGTTATATTTATAGAGAAATGCTTTATAATGACCCAAAATCCTGTTAAAATGACATGAAAAAAATTCAAAATGAACAGTTTGAGATACAAAACCTTATTTTAAAAGTTAGCTTAATTCCTCCCCATCCCCACACATTTTTCTCCTGCTCCCTCACATCATCACACAAACGCACATAAGACCTTGGAGGGTGGACAAATCAGGGGTGCGGGTATGGTCCCCATTTCCGCATTCCTGTGGCAACCTGCTCCCCAATTTTATTTGCACCTTAAACACTTCCACCAACGACATTCCACACCAACACACACTTAGGGCCTTGGGAGTGAGCACATTCAACCACATTTGGCAAGGGGATTTCTCAGCCTCATCCCAAGTGCCGGTGCCCACTTCCAATTTTAAACTGCACTTAGACACTGAGGGCTCTGGGTGCAAGTGGGGTGGTGTGGTGGCATCAGCTGGCATAGGCCAGACGATGCCCGCTCACCACAGCCATGGAATACACCTCATCAACACGCACTATCACTATATTGGAGCAGGCGGAGGATGACTAGGGGTCTTTGCACATGTCTGTTGTTGCTTGGCTTCCCGGGGCTGTAGGCAAGGAGGGAGATCTGGCCGTCTAGTTGGGGTCTGGGGTGGTGGGTTGCTTCGCTCAGCATTGGGCGGGGGAGCCTGCTCATCAGCACCCCAGCAGAAAGGGTCGAACTCTGGGAACCAGTAATGGTTGTACCCTATGTACAGCAGTACTGGGACCAGAGTGAATAGGGTGTGTATGGGGAGCATGAGTGGGTGTTCGGTGTGCATTTTTGTAAGTCTTTGGTTGTATGTGTATGTGTGAGCATGAGGGAGGGAGTGTGTTACTGTGTCTGGGTATGACTGTATATGTCAGGTGGGGCCTTTGACTCCTCTCTTCTCCTGGGACTTCTTTTATGATATAGATCTTCGTCTCCCCTCCCCCTGCCACACCTGGTGTGGAGTGCGGTGCCTTGGTCTGCCTGAGTGTTCGCGGCTCCCGAGTCAGGGGGTTTAAGATTTTTGGCGTCCGCCTGATCAATTCCGGTGGCTGCCTGGTGAGGTCTGGGTCCCCGGCGGGGGTGGTCACCCCTGGGTCCCGGGTTGCTGGGTCCCGGGCTCGGCCTGCTAGGGGGTGGGAGGCTGCAGGCGGGCCTGTGGGCTTGCCGCTGATATTTCCCGGGACTCTGCTGGCTGCTGGTGGTGGCCCCCCGGTGCAATCCTCTGCGCCTCTTCAGGGGGGCAGGGGCTTTTCTGGTTGCAGTCTCCCTGGAGTCCCTGTGCTCTGGGGCAGCTCCTGGATCTCTGAGACTTGGAGCTCCTTCCATCTCCTACACATGTTTGGGGGCAGACCTGAGGCCCCTCACACTCTCTATTGGACACTCCTATAGAGAATCCTTACATATACAAGTGCGTGTACACCCACAGGTGCTCACATGGTGCTCTAATAAGTATGGACTTTGGCACGTTCAACACAGGTCTTAAGGCTGTGGTGGGCACTTAATGCACTGTGATTTATTATCGTGTGATTGTTCAGTAAAACAATGTTGATTTAACATTTCCTCATCAGATTGACGCAGTGATTGTTTGCTCCTGTTGTATTGTGTGTTGTTTTTCTTTTTTTTTTCTTTCTCCTTCTGCAGATCTAGAAGCAGACTCTTGTTCATCATTGATTGTTTGTTTTTGTGGACCCCCCCCCCCCCCCCCCCCCCCCCGTGTCTTCCTTTCTCATTCACCTCTGTCTCCGTGTCCGGTCGGAATTACAAGCATTCAAAAAACAATAACAATAAAGTTTTAAGTATCAGGCGTGACATTAAAAGCAGACGCTTTGATGCTCTACCTGAGAGTAAATCTGTTAGGCTTGTCACCAGCATTCAGACATCAGTTCTGTTTGCTTCACAGCCAGACAGGACACGAAAAAAAAAGTTTGCTTAATGCATTTTTAGTGTTTTTGCAGCTTCACAGAACCTCTGCATTCCAATGAAAGAATGTGTCAGAAGATTTTTTCCCCCTCAATTAAGCATTTAAAGGTGCATGAAGTAAGAATGACTATGTTTACATGCAGCCAATATCCGGGTTATGATCGGGTTAAGGTCGGTATTCGGGTTTCTGAGTTGATCAGAATAACCCGTTTACAAGCATGAATAGAAAGAGTTACCCCTAACTTGCATAACCCGATTTAAATGCGGACGTTGGTGTAGCGTCAGGACGTATGGACTACGTCAAGACGCAATATGCGGTTACCTTCTTGTATATTTCGCTGTCTCTGTACTCTTGGCCGTCAACAAAAGACATAATGTTCATACTTTTCACCAGAACGATGAAGAGTTTCCTCGTCACTCCAAAAGTGTGGTGCTGTGCCGCGACTCGCCATGTTGCTCCCAACTTGTTGTTTACTTCCGGTGTTCTGGCGCATACAAGACATCTCGCTACTCAAAAGACCAAGATTCCTTGTGAACAGAGCATGCGCAGAACACACGCTTTGATGGGGATATCCCGATATGCGTTTACACGACCGAATATTCGAGTTAGAAAAGGGTTACCCCAGGTGTAGTAACCGGGTTTTTAAAAACCCGGTAATGAGCATATCCAGGTTTTTGGCGGTGTTTACATGGCCGTGCGGAACCGGGTTATTGTGAATATTCGGGTTTTAAAAGGGTTACTGGCTGCATGTAAATGCACTCAGTGATATCCTGTGGTCAAATGTCGGTACTGCAGTCAATTTAAACCAAGGAGTCAGCTCTGTGACCCGTCTTGTTTGTGAGTTTCATGGCTGTAGATCAGCCCTAGAAGATTCTAGAAGATGAGTCATAACAGAAAGTTTATCAGTAGATAAATACATTTCACTGTAATATCAAGCTGCTGGTAACTGAAAAAAGTAGCTTGAGCTATTTTTAGAACCAATTATTTTTTCTAATTCACCGTTTGCATTGTTAGCTTAATGTTGGCCGCTTGCCTTCTTTACCCAAAATAAAGCATAAAACAAAAAGATGCTGTGGCTTCTTAGAGTAAACAACTTCTGGGCCGCTCCTGTTAACTGGCCTTTGTTCTTTCCACGACATTGGTTCTTTTTGCCAGCCAGGGTCAAAATACAGATGCTGGCTCTGCAGCATTAGCTGTCACAGAGTGGCCAACCCCATAGGGTCAGACTGTAAACAAGAACCATGTCCCCCTGGTCTTTTAAAAAGGATTAAAGCTGGCAACCACCCAGCTGGTTAAGAAAAAAATCTTTCAATGTAACCATCCTTCCAGCATGATTGAGACAGTCTGTTTTGTGATCATTTTTACTGTAGAATTCCCACTTATTGCACCTTTAAATGTCCGTCTGCCATGAGGTGATGATAAAAAAGGCCTCTGACACATAGGTGTATCTGATACTGGTTCAGCTTATGCATCTGCAAAGTACTACTAGTGCAGATAATTATAAAAGTTGAAGAAATAATTAAATAGAAAACTAATAAGATAATCTATGAAATCTATAAAAACAAAGATGGTCTAAAAGAACAAAGTAAATGCAGCAAAGTGGAGGGAGTTGGCTGGTTGACAAGTCCAGCTAGCGCCTCACAGAGTTCTCCAAGGACTCCCCGTCAGCGTCTACATCTCCTCGTAGCTCGCTGGAAATGTGGATTTCAACTGTACTAGACTCTGAACCTAGCAAGACAAAATAAGGTTAGATTACTGGGTGTGACTGCAGACAGCATCTTTTTTAAGATTGTCTTAATAAATGCTGGTTTAACATTTTTATGCTTTATGTTGCTGCATTTGACAGAAACATACAGAGCTATATAAATAAACGAAAACAATACGTCCTTTAGAATAATCTTTATTTTTAATGTATATTTGTCATGTCAGAGATCCTGGTGACAGAACATCACTTTTCTTTGGGTACTGATTACATGATGCACAAAATGTTATAGCTTAGTGTAGTTGGTATGCTGGTTACAGTAAATGCACATTTACATTCACAGAATTGCAAGTTGGTGAGGTATTTATTTCTGAAACTGATGCAGTTTAATGTAAAATGTTACAACATTGATGATTTAAATATATATTTAAAGGTGCGGTTGACTTTAAAATGTATTATTTCTCATTGTAATCGGTTACTCTGAGTTTTTCATGTAGGCTCCTACACATATCTCCTGCATTAGCGTCTGACAGAAAACAGATGGTGAAATGCTCGGATTTAAAAATCCTCACATATCTATGTCACACTGTGAATTTGCATTCATGGCCTCGCCTATCCTGGCTCACGCCCACCCACAGGTGTTGAGAAGGAACCATCCGGAGGAGAGACTGTTTGTGTCCTTTTACAGGGCAGCCATTGAATCCGTGTTGGTGTATTCCATCACTGTGTGGTTTGCTGCCTGCTCAGCAGCAGACAGGAAGGCTCTGCAGAGGGTTATTAGATCATCTGGAAAGATCATCGGCTGCCCCCTGCCCACCCTGGAGAGCATCGCCAGCTCCAGAGGTCTAAGTAGAGCACAGCGAATTGGGGCAGACTCTTCTCATCCAGGACACCAGCTATTACAACTGCTTCCATCAGGGAGACACCTCAGGTCCCTGAGGTGCAGAACTAATAGACAGCTTTTACCTGTGGGCATGGAGAATCTTAAATGGCTCTTCTTGATCACAGGAAGGGCTTTTCCATTATTTTTCTCTTTTAAAAGGGGAAGAGTTTGCTGCACCCCCCTGTACTGACTGACTGTGGTTTTATGCACATTTACGGTTGTTGTTTATTTTTTCTTTTGCCTTGTCTTATTGAACATTTTAGGGCAGTTTTATGGAAGCTGTTTTGACATGTGGCTTTTACGTTTGTTGTTTATGGCACCGTGCCAGACGAGGCCTACGTACGTAATCTCGTCATGCTTTGCATAATGACAATAAAGAATTCAATTCAGAAAGGAGAGAGAGCGGAAAGTGTCTTGGCGATAGTTACTTTGCAATGTGGCGTTCTGTTAGCCAATCAGGAGTGAGGTGTGTGCACATCAATAATAAAATTGAGCAATCGCGCTGTCTTCAGCCCACCTCTGCACCAGCAAACGTCTGCATCTCAGGAGCATCATAGCGTTTTAAACGACTAATAAGGCATTCATTTACACTAGAGAACACTGCAAATGTATTGAATATATGAGTAAACCACACCTTTAAATGATGTATCCTCAAATCTCATTTCAAAGTTCAACAAAGTGAGCATCATTCACATTTAAATGCTCCAGCTCTCCATGAAAGGGGAAGTAGACGATTAAACAGCTGACAAGAGTCGTAAATCATAGGATTGTTGCATTAAACTGCATAAGTTTCAGCTATATTTATATATTAATGCCGAATGCGGGGCAGATGGGTATGTCTTTTCCCTGTTAATCTGCTGTCAGCAAATTGTCTAAATATCAGTGAATAAATCTCAGAGTGACCACTCAGGTTTGGCTGGAACTCATAAAATTTTTCATAAAATGCACTTTTATGCAAGTCGTCAGCAACATTTGGTATTAGAAACATATTTCAGCGTCACCAGCCCTGGTAAACTAGTGATCTGCTGGCAACACTGGACGGCCTGTTACCTTCTGAGAGGACACTGATGGCGTCAGAGTGCTGCTGTCCATTTCCAATTTTCTGGGCTTCCTGAATGTGACTCTGGTAAAGCAGAGTTGTTCCCACCACTGAGTTTTGGCCAGCCACGTTAGGCACCGAGGTAGAGCCCGAGTCCCAGGCCAGCTCCCTGGTCCGCTGCAGGCTGAGGTCAACGTCCAAGCCTGTCCAGCCATGGAAAGCCAGCGTGTTGAGGAAAGCCTGCATGGGGTTCAGTATTCCCTGAAAAATGTACAGTGTACTATAGAATTAGTAATGATGGTAAACATTTATTTAAAGTCAATTTGTTCGTAGATCTTTGAAAACCAACCATGATGAACCACGTGGTGAGGGACGCATTCCTGATGTCTCGAAGGCTGCTGTCACTGATGTCTGCCTGCATCTCCAGGTAAAATAGGAGGCTCTCGTTGATTAAATTTGGAGCCCAACTAAAAAAACAACACAAACATTTAATTTAAATGCATTTCACGTATTCGGTTCATAACTGTTATGGACAGGATTTCTAAGTGCTGCTAAGGTGAGCCGTTTTGGTGGCCTAAGGATTGAGTCTCTGCTTTTTGCAGATGATGTGAACCTGTTGGCTTCATCAGAACGTGATCTCCAACTTTTGCTGCAGCGGTTCGCAGCCGAGTGTCAAGCAGCTGGGATGAGAATCAGCTCCTCTATGAGTTGGAAAAGGGTAGATTGTCTTCTCCAGGTCAGGGATGAGGTCCTGCCTCTAGTGGAGGAGTTTAAATGTATCAGGGTCTTGTTCACGAGTAAAGGAAAGAAGGAGCCTGAGATCGACAGGCAGATTGGTGCTGCATCTGCAGTGATGCAGGCGATGTACCGATCTGCCGTGGTGGAGAGAGCTGAGCCAGAATTACCAGCCGATCTGCTTTCCTACCCTCACCTATGGTCACGAGCTTTGAATGAGATCATGGACACAAGCATCCAACAAAAGCTTAGTTAGGGTGGCTGGGCTCTCCCTCAGAGATAGGGTGAGAAGCTCTGTCACCTGGGAGGGGTTCAGAGTAGACCCGCTGCTCCTCCACATCGAAAGAAGTCAGTAGAGGTGGCTCGGGCATCTGGTCAGGATGACTCCTGGACACCTCTCTGGTGAGGTTTTCTGGGCATGTCCAACCAGCGGGAGACCTAAAGGGAGACCCAGGACAACGCTGGGGAGATCATGTTTCTCGGCTGGCCTGGGAACACCTTAGGATTCTTCTGAAGGAATCAGCACAAGTGGCTGGGAAGAGGGAAGCTTGGGCCTCTAGGCTCCTCCCCCACGACTCGGCCCCAGATAAGTGCAAGAGAACGGATGAATAGATGAATGAATGGATGGCAATTAAAATATTCCCTGCTGGAAAATCAAGCATAGACCAGCTTAGCCGGTCACCAGCACATGTTGTGTTTTGGTGATGGGCTGCTGGACCACCATCCCATCCTGAACCAGCAAAATGGCCAAACCAGCACCAAAACAACATGTGCTGGTGACCAGCTAAGCTGGTCTGTGCTGATTGTTTTTTAGCAGGGAATGAACATAGTAATAGAAAGTGAACAACTAACTGATTTGTAAAAAATGGTGTGATATTTCTATGGTTGGTATAATACATAATGCACTTTTCAGTAAATTCCTCTCACACAGCTGCTTACAATTGACAGTTTCAGTACTTCACCACATTGAAAAATTTCATGTCTGTCACTTTAAGGAAGACGAGCCGCTGCTGGCCATGCCCACCCAGCCCCACCCAGGCTGCTATCAGCTGAGAAGCTCAGTTATTGGGACAGGCTTGGCATATAGCTGCTACTCCTCTAGCAGCAGTTCTCTCTTGCATGTGAAACGTGCTTCTATTCTACTTTCCCTGTTTGTGATGTCACAAATGGCAGCATTTTATAATGACTTGTTTAGGCACATAATTCCTAAAACCAAACACTGACAGTAAACAGGTTTTTTTTCACATTTGGAGTGCCCGTAGAGGTCGTAGAGACTCACATGGCTGCACAAAAGAATGCAGAAGGTGTTTTTTGCATAACAGGTACCATTTAAACACTGAAATCATAGAAAATCAGAATTATTTAAACTTATTTCTGGAGACTTTTTGTTATCTTACTTGAAATTTAGTGCAGTAGAAAATCTGAATGAAGACTCAACTTACCAAACAAAGAACACCAGCATTATTTTAAAGAAGCGTATTTTTATCTCAGTCGCCAGACGCCTCTCATTTTCTGTGTAGATTCCTTGTCGTCCTTTGAGTAAAGAAGTCACTGCAAACACACGAGTCATTTGTTTTGTTCCTGTGCAAATAAATAGAAAAGACAGTTTTGTTTTGTTTCTCTGAGTTTAAAGAGACCTGCAGAAGTGGTCCTGCTGAAGAAGATGGGGTTGGCTATGAGGACAAGCAGCATTGGAGCGTATGTGGTGATGTAGTGAGGGACAGCATGCTGGAGGCCTTGCTCGCAACTAAAACAGACATTTATCAGATGTCACATTTTCATTTCACTGAAATTCTTCAATTTAATTGGATCCTTGGTAGAATAAAGCATCTTACTCAGAAATGGATGGGTAGTAGAGCATGGCCACTCCTTCAACACACAGCAGCACAGCCAGACCCCATGTGATCATGTGGTAGAGGACGATGGTGCTGATGGGGAAGAAACAAGTAGGTCATGAGACTTGGGGTCACAGCACATGCTGCAGCTCTGGGTCTTGTGCAGAATTTTTTTTTCTTTACAGAAAACAAATGTTTTGTTCTGACAGAAGAGGGAAAGTATGCACAAGAACTGTACGAGCAACATCTTACAGCTCTATCGGGAAACACTTTCTATAATAAATGTAGAACAGAGTATGGCAGGCCATTATGACATTTAACTGGACCAGACTTTTGTTTTATTTATAATAATAACATTCTTTCTCTTCCAATGAAAATCCACTCAGAATATTCTCAGGGTAAATCTTTTCTAAAGAAATACGTTTTAAAGATTTTTCTTGTCAAAAAACGGACAGATCTGGTGGAGAAAAATAAGACCAGGTGTTCTGTTTATCATGTTCAAGCATAAAATTACTGATTACAGGTAAAAGTGCTGAATCAATTGTTGACAGTGTAGCTCAATAACAATTATGGGGCCCTATAGTGTCCTCCATATCACTATGGAAGCCCATTCTGCCACTCTGATTAAAAAAATGATCTTAGTAGTATGAGATAGCTAAGTCATATTTATGAGACAACATAACATGACAGGGATGGACTTACACACACACACACACACACACACACACACACACACACACACACACACACACACACACACACACACACACACACACACACACACACACACACACACACACACACACACACACACACGTGCATTAGTGATCAGAACAAAATAAAAAAATTCATATTGTTTATAGACAAAAAAAATTCTGAAGAATATTTTAAGACACAAATTAAAATGATGAATTCAAACTGATGTTTTAGACACCTGAAACATTATTGGCTGACTTTTAAATTGTATCCTACTCCAGATAGCAAACATCTTTATTGTGACTTTTTGGAAGCGCTAAATTATAAATATCTGCTTTGAGATCAAATCTATTAAGTGACAACTGGGCTTGCCCTACTTAGCTGCATCATGAGACAAAGTGAGAAAAAGGTAGATTTTTTTACACATTCAGTTGGATTAAAAATGTTGCTTTTCATAACAGGTTTGCATTTCCCCCCGTTTTCTGTAGAAAGAGGCGTTTAGGTGATGATGATGAGTTGAAAAGTGACAGAACCTGATCCCTGCTGAGGTTTTCACCACCAGGAAGACGTCAACAGCATAACAAAAGGTCCACCAAAACGAGGCGCTGAAAAACAACTGGATCCACATCTGCATGAATAAAATATAAAGTTAGAACAACAGCACACACTCTAAATATTGGATTTACATTCCAGAGCAGATATTTTACACTGTGCTGAGCATGCAAATGACAATCTCCTTCCATGAAATCTAGATTATTTCTACAGAATCATGCAGGATTACAGAAACAACATCCCTTTTTTATATTCTGTCCTGCACAAAGCTCACATCAGAGCACGTGCAGCTGCAGCTGAGAGCATCACACATACCGCGCTGCCAACGCAGAACACCTCTGGCAACACGTCCGTGTTGTTGGTCACTGAGATGCCGTCGATGATGCTGGGAAGGCCCAGCCACACCGATGACCTGATGATGACTCCTGAAAAAAAAGGGAGGAAGTTTCAAACTGGCACGTTCTGCAGGAAAAGAGGAAGCCAACACAATCTGGCTTTAATTAACATTTACACCCATGAAATTTCTTTTCTCAGCCTTTATCATCAAGTGCTTGAAATAATTACTGTCAGTCAGGGAGTCCTTTTGTTTAATGGCAGCTTTGCATCATGGAAATATTATGAATTTCCAGCGGGTGTTTCTTTTATAGAAGGGGGGGGGGGGGCAACAAATAAATAAGGATCTCTCCCAAATTCCTTTATGCAACGCGGACTTCACGCTGTTCTGCGTTTCATTTTGAGCTGTGTCATCAGCGTGCTTCAAGCTGTGAAAGTCTGCAGCCCTGAATGGATCTCGCTGGGTGTGGAAACACATGACTTCACCTGCTTCCCCTCGGTGATGACTGAACAGTTCACATATCAGCGTGCATGTGGTGCAGCAGTTTGACAGATCGTATAAAGGCCGTTTAAAAAAATACATTGAGAACTGTTTCTGCATCCATTTACACAAAACTGTTATGAGTCACTTTATTACCCACGAGAGGGGAATCATGCTTTTGTTTTGGAGGAAAGCCTCAGAAATCTGGTTTTCCACAATGCTCACACGCAAATATGTTTCCTTTCTGTTTACAAGAAGGTTCTTTTTATGTTCTCCTAAAACTGCATGTAAACTTGTGCACCAAAGGGGTTAAAAAGAAGGAATGTCCTTGTGTAACGGAGCACAGCGTGCAGCACTGTAAAAAACGCCTCTTTTGTACATTCAGCTTCAACAGAAAAAAAGTAGGTCACCACTTTCGCCTTTACCTGCACATCCCAGTATGTCACATATGCTGATGATGAACAATATTCTTGAGGAGGATGCGGGCCTCGGCAGAGGATACTGCCCGAGTCTTCTGTATCCTTTGCGTTTCGGCAGGATTTGCAGAACTGCAAACATGAGGCTTAGAGCGGCACTTCCCAGAGTCAGAGCCCCAAAAAGCACGGGCTGGAAGGTGACCACGAACTCTGTGGCTGCATCTCGGTTCGGGCAGCAGAAAGTCTCCAGCCGAGGGGAGGCCATCCCGGACTGCAGGGTCAGAGGAAAGACGGGCTGTGGTGTTAGAGACAGAAGAAAAGGGAGAAAAGAACAGAAGAGGAAATGACTGAGTCCATGAGCCCCGCGCTCACTGACAAATCACGGGGCTGAATCATCATGTGCTTCTATTTAATCCCTGAAGTTGAAGCTTAACTCTGCCGCACAATACAGAAAACCCACAAAAGGACTGTTGTGTGGAAGAGAGGGATTTGAGTCTTTGAGAGAGCGGCTGAGGACCTGCAGCTTGATGTGTGCTGCTTTAATCAATCAGCAAAAAACATTTATTCTTATTGAGGGAAGAAAAACAGTCAGAATAAACTGAGGGTCAAGTTAAGTTATTTTCTATTCTTCTTCTACTTATTATTATTCTTCTTATAATTATATTTTTATTATTATTATAATATTGGTACATTACCATACTTTAATTGTTAGCCCACAATGATGAACAGACGTAGGTTTACTTCTTTATTTAGTTTCAAAATGGATGTGGACACAAACTAAGGAGCAAGTCACCCCCTACTGGAGTTAAACTCCGCCCACATTTCCTGTTTAAAAATGTGCCAAAAGGAGGCATTGCCTGGTGGACCAATAGGGCAGCCCTGCGGCAGTGATGCACGCACACACACACACACACACACACACACACACACACACACACACACACACACACACACACACACACACACACACACACACACACACACACACACACACACACACACACACACACACACACGCTTGGACAAGAAACTCCAGCACGTGTCCTAGTCTGGAGGATTGCTCTCCACCTCCTCCATCAGAGTAAAGAGCCATATTGTTTTGTATAACTTGTGAGTTTCCTGAGATCACCGATGCTAAGCCATAAACACTTGCTATTCCAACTCACTACAGACGCGGGGCTGAGGCTTGGCTGCTTTTTTATGCCACAGTGACATTGCAGCTGACATCATAGTGTACCAGTTAACATAACATACCACCCTCTCAGCGGACTGAGAGATTGGGGTTCAAATCCTGGACGGGTAATACCAAAAAATGGGACCTAATCCCCCCCCCCCCCCCCCCCCCCCCCCCCCCGCCCCCCCGGTTGCAGCTTACCGCTCCCCATGGGGATGTGATTTTTCAGGGAAGTTTCATGTTGAAAACAGAACCATGTGGAAAATATCAGCAGATTCCATGCTTCTGTGTGTGTGTGTGTGTGTGTGTGTGTGTGTGTGTGTGTGTGTGTGTGCCACTTGATGCAGAGTGTTTAGCCTTTGCTCTTCCATCTCAAATTGAGATGATTTTTGAAAACACCACCACAGGGTAGGATGTAAACAACACTTGGAAGTCAAACCCAAATAAGAGCATTTTTTTCAAACTGAAACATAAATCAGATTATTAGCATAACCCTGGCAAATCATGTAATTTGCAGTTAACTTGCATTTTTTCCCCTACTTGTTGAACAGCTTTAAATCATATGAACAAGATTTTCTCCTGTGAGGATTATTAAATGACTGCTTTTAATTGTGTTGCTTACAGAGCCAACTGATGGGCATTTAGTATTTCTTAAATTGCATGTTTCAAACGAGACGAGGCCTTCATTACTCAGCAGTAGAACTAACATGTTCTCTCGTTAGAGGCTGAGTTAATCCATCACTGTTGGTCTCTACGGGTCTGATGGAAATCTACGATGCTTCATAATGAAAGCGCAGAAACTTGAGTTTTTCTACTCTTTCTCTCTGAACTCAATATGCAAGTTTTTCTTTTAATTTCTAGTGTTTTTTTAAATGAATGAAATCAGAAAAAAAGAGCCAACATTGCATGAAAAATCAGAAGAACTAAGGTGCAAATGTACAATAAACGAAAGCTGCACAACTTTCCGGTCCCTGTCCTGTATTTAGGAACTGTTCAGCAGCATCTTCATCACAAGCGAATCAAAAGCCTGAAAATAAGTGAATGAGAATTCTTGTGAGGAAAACAGTTTAAGGCCATCACAAATGAAAGTCCTGTTTGTTCTGCAAGCTGGGATTAAAATCAAATCAGGCTCTTCTTCATTCTTTGATTAATGAAAACAGGATGCCACCAGCTGCCCGAAAGGTCATCTTACTCCTCCTGCATGCAGCAGACGTTCACCAGAGGTCAGCTGCTCGATCTGCTCGCTTGGCTGGAGATCTGAGAAGACTGGTGGACATTTGAAACAAAGCATCAAAAGAATTCAGTATGCAGCACAACAGAGAGGGCATTCATTCAGTTAGCACAATGGTACTCTAATACAAACGCACCTTCTCTGGAAAAAAGGCACAAAGTCAATTGTGTGGTGAGCTCGTGAGGCTGCTGCTGAGGATTAACAACACCCCCAGGAGGACAGTGATACTATTGACTTGCTTTGAACATGTGCTCTTCGTGGCTGCCCTCTGCTGGCTTCTGTAGGCTGGATGATGTGATTGCTGCGCTTAATGAAAAAACGTTATATGGCTGCTGCAGAATACCTATGTCAAAATAAAATCATTTAGCAGTGGCCATTTAGTGGTTGTGTTGTAGCTGGAGTGCATGAGGTTTGATCCTGAATCAATAACCACACATTAGGGTTTACTCATTATATTGCACAAATACTGTTAAAAAAATAGCCAACCCAAAGGTCTGAGGTCAAAATCAGAGCTGTGTCCAGGACTTTTAAAACGGGGTGGCCCATGTGGGGCACTTGTTTATGCATCGGTGGCACCAATGGTTATGCTTATTTATTTATTTACTTACAGAAATCGTTTATTTATTTATTTACTTTCTAGTGAATTTTGGAGTTTCACATTGCACCATCACCATTTTTTTCCATTCATCTTCTAGTTTTGTGGTGGTTAGCAAGTCACTTCTTGTTGCATTATTGCCACCAACTGGAGTTGAGTGGGACTCTAAATACTATTTATGTGAATATGAAAAAAATAATAAATAATATTAATACTACAGAAATGTTCTGTAGGCCTGGGCTAGATAACAATGTTAAAGGTGCATGCTACCATACACTATTTTTGGAGTTTACAACCCAAGCCTTTTGTCGACGATGTAAAGTCAATTTAAACTGGAACTTAGTAGGGTGGCACCTGGGGTGGCCAATCAGATTCTAAGGGTGGCATGTGCTACCCCAGGCCACTCCCTGGACACGCCCCTGGTCAAAATCTTGAATGCAAATTATTTTGAGTGGATTGAAATCTTAAAACAAAAATAAAAATGGTGGATCTGCAGTTTTCTGGAAGATTCTAATTTTTTCCCATTCATTTTTAGAGGAGAATAAAGTAAATTAGCTCTTTAATTTGAATGAAAATGGTGTCAAATTACAAACAAATAACTGAACTGCGCAACAGGTCTCTCTCTGCTTCCTGATTGGTTAGTCACTGTCTGCAACCAGCCTTCTTTCTGCAGGGAGGAAATGACAAAATAAGGCAAAACATGAACTTTTATGAAAGCGAGTCAATCATAAAACACGGTGAAGCATGTCTGCAGGGAGCACCCACACGGACCATGCATGTCCAGCTGGAGCTGCTTTTGTCTCCAACACTTTAATGAGTGGTGAGTAAAAGATGGAGGCTTTTTCTAGGTGTCATGTGGAATTCCTCATCTGAATGCAGGGTCGTAAGAGAGTTGTGTGATGACCGTTTGTGTCCATATGAAGATGAAGAATCTGACTGGTCTCCGATTCACGATGTAGTCTTTAACGGAAGAATCCTCACTCTGCAAAAACTCATCACACAGGTAACGTTCAAACGACGTCTGTGGGGTTCAAACATCACCACAACGTACAGGTTATCTATTCAAGAGGTGTCACACTCTAAACAAGCTGCACACCTAACTTTGTTCTCAAATATATAATCATTTTGTGCTTTTCCCTCCGTTTCTTGCTTCTCCCTACTTTTTCTGTTTTGTTGACAGGGAGTTTGTGTAAATCTGAGCACTCTGGACCGACTCTCCCCCCTACACACAGCATGTATGCAAGGCCACACACACTGTGCCAAGTTCCTGGTGGAAAACGGAGCAAATGTGAGCAAAACATCCATCTTTACAGGTCTAATCCGTCATGAATTAACTGAAAAGAAGATGTTTTCCCAATGCTTATGAAATGTTCCGCTCAAGTCAGCCGTATTAATTATTGTCAGGTTAAACTAGAGAATTTTTCAAGTTAGTGAGAAATTAACAGGAAACACCTACGAACAAGTACGCAAATGTGACTCGTTAACAATTAACATGCAAAAATCTACAGAACAGCCTTTCATTTCCTGCTTTTTAAATGGTTGGTGTTTCACACCAGGTTAACAGTTCTACCGTGGATGGGCGGACAGCCTTAACAGAAGCGTGTTCCAAGGGTCATGTGGCCTGTGTGTTGCTGCTTCTCCAACATGGGGCGAGCCCCCAGGGGAGAGACTGGTCCAGCTCTCCAATCCACTGGGCTGCAGCTAAAGGTCAGGGGTCACATTCCGCTGCATGTGCATGCATAATCTTTGCAGAGATCAGTAAATTGTACACAAAAAAGGCTCAATCTGTCACGTTGTGGGGATGTTTAGGACCCAAATATGCAGATTACCCAGGATGACTCGAGGCAGGAGTTGGTAAAAGAAAAAATCCTTTATTTGGCAGGATGAAAACAAAACAAATCCATAAGGCAGCAAGCAAAAATCCAAAAGTCCTGGAGCACAGGACACCAAAAGCTCACTTAGAGCACAAACAACGCTGACAAAAACACAATGGACCGACAAGAACAATGAGACAAGGAGAGGCTTTATACACTGGGGCTGGAGTGATAGGAGACGAGGAGCAGGTGTGTGGAGAACTGGCACAGGTGAAATCACCAATGAGGAGAGGAGCAGAGCAGGACACCAGACCTGACTGGGAAGGACAAACAAACATACACACACATACATACACATACTGACACACACATAAACTAAGCTGGGGAACAAGAGGCTGGAGCTACAACTAGAGGGGCTGAGGATGACTGGATGACACAGGACCTGGGAGGAATGATTTTAATGGGCTACAACTTAAGATACATAACAGAGATGCAGACAAAGGACACATGACGGCGCTAAGAGAACACAAAAGGGAATCTAGAGAGGGATGGAGAAACATTAGGAGACACATGGGGAAAGACGCAGACGCAGACTGTGACACAAACAGCCAAAACCTAAAAAACAAACATTTTGAAAAAGTTAGGATTTTGCTGATTTTATTTTTTTTCAGTGCTTCACCTCTGGCTGTATCCTCAGGTCATCCTGAGTGTGTTAAAGCTCTTGTGCAGCACAGAGCAGATGTGGATCAGCACATAGACAAATTAGGATCTCCTCTCCACCTTGCTTGCACCAGCCAGCAGCTGAGCACCGTGAGGAAGCTGCTGCAGCTCGGTAAGAAGGCTTCACATTTCATTCTCATCTGTGATTAGAGCGTAACACATTTCTGTCATTAATTGGTAATGCACACACACACCTGTTGTGCCCGAAACGTTTAACTGCATTAAAGGTGCACTGTGTAAGATTATAGTGAGAATTTTAAAGTGAGAAAATCCCAAAAGAGTCTAATTTTTTAGTCATTTTGAAAGGAAAGTTATACATATTTCATATCCATGTTTCATATGCAGTTTTGTCAGTTTTTCTCCTTTCAAAACAAAGGAAGAAGGGACAAAACTATTGATTACCATCAGTGAGTGTGGCGTCGACGCGCCTCCTGCGAGCTAACGCTGTAGCAACCGACAATTGTAATTTGATGACAGCTGGCAAAAAGCTCCAGAGTTATTTAAAGTGGTTGCAGTAACCAAATTTTACCACATGATGCCATTTTTACTTCATTTCTACATAATGCACCTTAAACCAAAACAGATATTATTAATCACAATAAAGAAGTTTTTTATGCATTAACTCCACCAACACCATGCACATGTGCTACTGACAGTGCTTGGTGAAGCACAGAATTTATTTTTTGCATGCAGAGAAAGCTGCAAAAACAGGATAAACTAAAACTAAAACGCACAGGTTTGAATAAAATAAGGAATAATTTCCAGTTGACAGTTAAAAGATAATAAATCTACCTAAAAATGATATGATCAGTGCAATATTTTCTTCTCTTTTGAAGTAGAACTGCAAAACATTTGGAAAATACTAACAACATTCTTCATGAGCCTGCTGGAATCAGCGTTAGCTGTCAGAAACTGTCCTTCTGGTTCAAGGTGACAACATCAACAGTCTCTTCTCCCCCTCAGGTGCTAACGTGAACCGAGATGTTGCTGGGGAGTCACCTCTGCACACTGCAGCTAGACTATCCAGCCCTGAGTTGGTGTCGGTTCTGCTTGATCACGGGGCCGACCGCCTCCTTGTGAACTCGGAGGGAAAAAGGCCGCTGGACCTCACATCTCCTGACAGCGAAACCTGGAGACTGTTGAAAGAAGCGGGTGGTAGTCAGACCAAGTGAGTCCAGTGAGAGGAAAGGGTGGGAGGGAGGAGCTGTCTTATCCTCTAGAGCACTTATCCACCAGGAAAACACACACACACACACACACACACACACACACACACACACACACACACACACACATGCACACGCACACGCACACGCACACACTTTAGGCTATCAGTACCTCTACCAATCAGACCTAAAGGAATATCTCAACCATTCAAACCCAGACTCTTTGCCACACACATCTTGGCCACTAGGGGGAGATCTTGCACAATCTTTTAGGTTTAAAATCTTACAATCCATAAAAGCTAATTTATTATGAATAAACAGATTTGAGTCTTAGTGGAAGAGGTTGCTGTAAATTATTCATAAACAATAACACATTTTAAAAGCAAAAGTAAATTTCAGATAATCAAAACAACTCACAGATTCCTTTTTTATTAATGTCATGTATTTGGATGTGGTTAAATAAAATGGATTTTTGTTGAGATTTTCTTTTTAAATGAGAATTGTTGATTAGGTTTATTGAATACTGACGCATTTCCCTGATGATGAGCAATGAGCTAGAATAAACACGATTATATGATTGATTTTGTGTTGTGTGCCGCTTCCTTTGAATTTCACAAACAATATCTAAAAGGAAAACAAGACATTAAAGATGCAAAAGTAACTTGATTTATTTTTGCATGTCAACAAAATGAGGGCAAATCATCAAATATGAGACGTTAAAGTCCCATTAGTCATCACACACTGGTGAAATTCAACTCCCATTGGACCCATCCCTGTGCGGAGTGGTGAGCTGCAGCAGCGGCTGCGCTTGGGAACTATTTGGTGGTTGAAAAGCCAGTACATGGAACTGGTACAGAGTACACTTCTTCCTGATTTTCTCAACTTTTATTTGATTTTCTTAACTGATTTTTTTTTACTTAAAAATTTTGAGACGTCTGTAACGTTTTCAGCCGCCGAGCTTGTAAATAAAACCCTTCCTCGTGTCTGAAGAGCTATTTTTAAAGTTCCCTGACTTCTCGGCATCTCTGATGTTAGCGTGAGCGAAGACAGAAAACAAACTCAGATGCTTGCTGTAAATAAACGAGGAAGTCGAAGCAGGCAGTGCTTCTGAGCTGTGACTCTGGAAGAAATGATTGACTTTTGTAGGTCATTTATAGATATGATGAACAGGTTGGTGTGTGAAGAAATTGTTCTCCTACTGGGTGACCCCCACCTAGCTCTCATTAGGTTTCCATTGATCCCCTTTGTGTCGTTTTACTAACCAAACTAAATCATCGCCCCCACTCAAATGCTGCAGGAGTGCCCTGGAGCCAGGCACATGCTGGGGTGAGCATCGATTTAGCTGCTGTTTAATGGCAAATCAATAAGTTTGAAGGAGACTTCGACACACCATGCTCAGTGATTAGCAGCATCCACACAAACCAGACAGACAAATTTAGATCATGTGACCTAAATAATAATCCACTGATGACACTGTTTCATTTTCTTTGACGTGGAGCATCCTGATGCTCGTCTAGGTTCATGCAGGTGCAGCGATGCACTCAGACACACTTAAAATCAACCCACACACGTGTGATGCCCAAGCTTTTACTGCTATTCTCCCGAGGAACGCACTCCATTAACCCCTGTCTTGTTTTCCTCCTGTGTTTTCTATTTATTTATTTATTTTTCATGTGCACTGGCACTTTCTACCAAAATAGTGCAAAACGGAACTCTTCTGAGGGTTTAACTGAGATGTCATGTCCCAAAAAAAGACGGACACGACGGCCCGGAATCACCGAACCTATGAAATATTCAAGGAATAAAGATTTTGCAACTTTATAATCAAAGTAGGATTAGTTTACACATGATTGCATGATTCATTCCACCCACCGCACACACACACAGCGGTTGTTGATTTCGCTCGTCTCTTGTGTGCAAACATCTAATAAGCACGCCGCCTCGCGTCCTGATTGCTCTGAGCTGGATCTTGTTACAGATATCAGTTCTTCCCTCTAACATACAAGTAGGTTGTGCCATGTCCTTGCAACTCGCCGGTAATTGCTTTCTTTTTTAAGTTTAGTTTAGTGTTGGGGGTAATTAAAACAAAATGAGATAGAGCAGCCTGAGATCTCCCGTGGCTGCAGGGTCTGGGCAGAGAAGTTTTAGTAAGGTCACATACTGCCATGTTTTCAATTACACCCTCCTGTGTTAATGAGACTTTATTAAGGAATATTTTTGCATAACTAATTAGCTACGAGATCCTCAGCAGGTGTGTTTTTTTTGTTTTTGTTTGACAGTGAAATCAAATAATTACAACATTAAAAAGTGTTTATTTCACAACAGTTTAAATACATTTGTGGATTCACACAATATAAAAATTATACACAAATGACTCGTGACTAGACAAACTGTTGCGATAAATTGTATTAATTTAAATAACTCTATGATCGGCGCTGCTAGAATCGTCTCTTAGTTTAGCTGAGAGGAGATCTCTCCTCAGATGTTTGCTCCGTGTCAGCTCACGTGTCCTTAAAGTCACCCTGCTTGTCTCTGAGGCATCCGCCTGAGGAGAGGGAGGGGTGAAGCCAAGCAGGGAGCTCGGGACGTCCCTCGGGTGGTTGGCCGCGGCCGCGGCCCCAGCTGGAACCGTCGGCATCGGCTGGCTGACAGGTGCAGGCGGAGGACGCTGCTGCAGGTCAGGATGTCCGCGGAGCTGTCCCCAGCAGGTAGAGGCACAGCAGGTTGAGCGCTACGAGGATCAGAACCATCCCAGTGAGAACCTTCTGCAGCCACAAACACGAGTTCAGCTTCTGCTCCAGGCGAGAGTTGCAGGCCATCACTCTCATGAGCTGGAGAGAGGAAAAACGGTCTGGGTTCATCTCCAATGATTCTTTTCCAAATAAAACTTTCCTAAAATCACAAAACTAATCTTTCTAATTACTAAAAAAAAACACTTGGCAGGATTTTCTCCCCCCCTCTAGAACTCACCGCTGTGCTGACCTCCTGCTGTCCACCGTTCGACGCATCGAACAAACTCTCCCTTGGAAGGTTCACCGCTGGTTTGACGACATCTAGAGAATGGCAGCGTAATCTGTAGGAGAAAGAAACCAGTGAGCAGACATTCAGCCTACAGCTTCGGTTCTGCAGATGCTCAGCAGAAGGTCCTAGAGACGTAGATGCTGGGTGATGTGGAAACACGTCGTCGGACTAAGATCATGGCTGTAAAAAGACGTGTTGGGGATTTTTTGAGGGGAACAGAAAGCAGAAACTCTATAATCTCAAATGTAAGATGTGTTTTTTTAGTAGCTGTTTGTATTCTTGGACACCTTTAGGATATTTGAGGACGTGTTTAATGACACACCTGTGTTCCATGATCTTAGTTTTTGGTACTTCTTTCCAGAATTGAGTGAGTTCTTGCGAACCGGCGGTTTCCATTTCTGCAGCCATGATCAGAAAGCGGTCTTGTGGAGAGGCCTGGCAACCTGCGCCAGTCAAAACACACATTACTGCAGCTTTCACTATCAACAAAGCTGATTTAACACCATATGACCTGATTTTTATCAAACAGAAGCTATGTTCAGAGGACTGTGCTAAAAAAAGAAAGAAAAAAAAAACCCACGAACGCAGCAGAAAAACAAAAACACAGCATCTCTGATCCTCCTCCCTCAGCTGACACGCCTGAAGGTCGCTGAACACTTCAGCTCGCTGTCAGCTGTCGGGCGGTTTGTTTTCAGGGGAGACGGTTCTTTTATCACTCCTGAAAAATGCACGTCGGGCAAAGAAAAAAAGGAGGCTGCAAGCACTTCAGGAGCAGAGCGAGGTGTTTGATGATTCCGGCGTTCAGCGTTTTCAGAAGGTTTGAGCGTGCGTGAAGTACCTCCGTGTAAAGACACGACGATGTCGACCGAAGCTCCGGGTTCACAGCTGCTGCTGCTGGGCTTCACCCTGTACTTCTCAGGTGCCGTGGTCCGGACCTGAGCAGGCAGGTAATAATGAAGCCAACACGCATTTCTGTTTAAAAGTTAGGACCGAAATCCTTCATGCTCACCTTAAAGGCCACCTGATTTTTGGTCACATTGTTCAGGATAATTAGAGATTTCCTTTCAGTCTCTCCGGAGCCGAAGATCAGCTCCTCCGCAGGGCTGCAGAGAAACAACAGAGAGAGAAATAGAATTATGTATAAAAGAATAAAACTTCCACCTAGAGGCTCGGTTATTTAAAATCAGACAACAGTTTTTTGTTTTCGGTGACCGTGGAGTCTAATTATCTTGGGGTATGTAAATTTTCCAGCTACACATCATGTCTCCCCTGAGGAAATTATTTGTAGACAAAACAAAATGTGCTGCAACAACAAAAAAGAAGAAGGTTAAAAAAAACCACACATCAAAAACAGGATATCTGTTTCGACTGTTTCATTGTTTCCTACAAATTATTTTCTGTTTCTCTGTGAAGTCGACAAAAAGGTTTGGACTAAATATGAAGCTGCAGGAGAATCGTTTTTTCTGCTTTTCTTCTATTTGTGAGTCACTGTTGAACGTGGGATTTCAGATTTTAAAGAAACTTTAAATGTTCTTTAGTCGATTTTAATCGGGTTGCGCCGATCTATCAGCCCCGATCTCGGGTTTTTTTTTTCAAGATCGGTGATCGACCAAAAACTGCAATGGGTGCGCCCCTAGTTAACGTTAAATAGAAATAGATTTTTGGGACAAGTGTGTCAAAACGGGGTACAAATTTAGAAAAATTAAATTCTAAAGGAACAAATGGGATTGTGTAGTTCAAAAAGTAATATGTTCATTTATATTTGAGAACATTGTGTGTTCATATTGGTTTTCTCAATAAAAAGGAACTGAAACATTGACGTAATCTGCTTTTAGTTAAGACAAAATCGGTATCGGCATGTCAGGTTTTTCTCAAGATCCGTGATCGTCCAAAAACTGCAATCGGTGCACCTCTAGTTTTTAATTATTTTATTATTAAAAAAAATTAAAAAACACTAAAAGTGCAGCAGCAGTAAAACTCTTCTTAATGAAAACTTTAATAAACCTTGAATAAAGTTCAAGAATTTCAAGCATCTGTGAGATGGAGAATTACTCTAGGGGAAAAAACAGCTAAATAAATGTTTTAACGTAGAAAATATTACTTCTAAATGAAGTTTTTAATATATTTCTAAAACAAACTTTAATAGAAAAAGATTAAAACCGCTAAAGCTACTAAATGCATGTACAAAATGATGACCTAAACGTAGGGTTAGCCCTAACCCTCACTAAAACCCTAACCCGAACTAAAATAATTTAAAAAAGATAAAAACAAAATCTAAATCAAACAAATGCTCCCTAGTGGTTGGGTACAGGGGGAGTTTGTTCTCCTTCAAGTACAAAGAAATGTGATGTTTATGGTTTTGATTTTTTAAAAACTGATTTTCCTCCATTTTGCACCAAAACAGAACATTTAAGCTGTCCTCTATGCAGGAGCATAAAAAGATAAACCCAAATTTCCTTCCAAGCAAATGTACTTTAGTGTATTTTATCAGTAGTGAGCATGTGACTGAATGGATTTAGGGCCCTCTGCACTATGACCGCTGAGAACTTTGCCAACAAGAGCCTAGTATGGATTATAATATCTGCTTTGTATGCAGCCTGGTAACGTTTCATGAACGAAAACTGCCATGAATAAAGCATTTTTTCCTTCCCCGTGTCCTTGTGTATTCCCTTTCTCCCATAAATTAGCTGTAAAATCAGGCTTAGAGCGAGTCTTCAGGCTCTAGGAACCTTTGGCAAACTCAAGATCAAAGACCCCCCCGCACCCGTTCTGAAGCCCCCAGTCTTGAATAAAGCCAGAACCGCTCCAAAGCATAACTGCAATTTAAGGCTGGTTTTAATCTGTTTATCACTATAATTCACTGCTCAGAGCGGTCCAAAAACCCTCACTTCAAAGCCGTCACTCGATGGAAACGGAGCGGACTTTATTCATAACAACGAGACATGACATCATACAGTCGAAGTGAGGTGAAGCAGCAGCACACTGCTGCTTAACTGAACTATATTTAAAATTCATTGAAAGTCATATTAAAGCAAGTGTTTTTTTTTCATGGAGCGTGCAAAACGAGACTGGAAGGTAATTTCTACGCCGCCTCATTTCTGATCAATGAAACATCGACTAGACACATCCTTAAATTCTACTCGTGTGTGACGGGATCGATATAAAGGCACAAACAAATCAATAATGACTTAATGCAACAGATCAATTGATGAAAACAACATGGTTTGCTTCTATTCACAATAAAGCTATTCATCATTTTAAAATGTATCCTTTCTAAAGGAGACGACGCTCAGCATCAACATGTTTGCTGAGGGTTAGAGGGCGATCCTTTGGAGACAAAGCTGGTCTCTCAGGTTTAAGGTCCTCTTAACGCAAAGCCGTCCTGACGGCATTAGAGAGAGATGCTGACACATTCGAAGCTGTCTGGTCACAGGTGCAGAACACCTGGGCAGATAAGGGACAGATAGGTGTTATCAGGTCAACCCCTTCATGCTGTTAGATAAAAACAAAAGATTTTGCTACAACAAATGGGTGAATGGGGTGCATTACTCATTCTTCAAATAATTTATTTATTATATTTTATGTATTTAAGGCATTTGAAAAAATCTGCGTGAAATTTTAAAGGTGTCCTGGAAAGTTTTTTTTACAAGGGGAACCTCTATATAGTCTGTAAAACTTTTTTGGGGCTCAAAATGGCCCAGGAGCCTGGGTTAAATGCCAAAAAACAACCTCATAATAAAGCCCTACAATAGCTGGACTGTTTGCCCCACCCTTTCTGCCAGGACAAGAATATTAACCCCAGAGCACATAGAATTGCAAATGAAATGTCAAAAAAGGAAGTAAGTGTCCAGCAGGCCAATGTCGAGAGGTACGGGGTTGCAAACAAACCAGGAATGGAGTGTTTGGGCCAATGTCTGTTGGACCTGTCTGTGTGTGTTTGGTATCTAGAGGGCTGTGGTGTGGGGTTTGTGAACGTACGAGGAAGTGAGTGTCCAGCCAATGTTCGGGACATGGGAGGACTGAAGTGGTGCTCTGACATTGTTCTTTCTTTTTGTCCAAAAAGGACATTAGAAGTAGCTCAAAGTAGCATTAGCAGTAGCTCAGGATAGCATTATCACTTGCTTGGGCTAGCGCTGTACTTTGGTTAACATTACCGCGACCGAAGTTTCTATATTTAAATTATGAAGTCGGTTGGGATATGCAAATGTACGGGTGTGCGATAGGGATGCACCGATACCACTGTTTTCCAAACCGATACGACACAGATACTTGGATCTGAGTACTTGTCGATACTGAGAACAGATATGATACTTCTACCACACACACAAAAAATGCAATGAATTGGAATACATTTTATTTTCTTCTCTTTTTTCAACAGGAAAAGGCAGTGAGTTCGATACAAAATAAAATATATAGCCTAAGCTTTAGCAAACGCGGTATACTCCGGCTGATGATGTAGTCTCAGATGTTTTATTTTACTGCTGGTACTGAATGACGTTGACTCCTTTCCTCCCCGGACACCTTATCAGTTCAAAGTTTGCACTCAGCCTTGCTTCTGTCTTCTTCACAAATTTTAAAGTACATCGACACGGCTAACATGCTGTTTAACCTAGCAACAGCACCCCCTGGCTTTCTTATTCTGAGGCAGCACTCCTAAACCCACACTGCTCAACAGCTCCCCATAGTGGTCAACATAGAAAACTACAACATAATTGACAATTCACAGTGAAGCCACTTTCTGGCAACTGCATTGGTATCGGTTCCTGGTATTGGTTAACTTTTAACACGTACGAGTACATGATATCGGTACCGGCCCGATACCAGAATCGGTGCATCCCTTGGGTGTGACCAAGATTTTGATGGTAGACCATCTTTTCTCAGATTTAACCATTTCTCTGTTGCCAATAAAAAAATGACCAATATTGATATTGGTCTGCTCATTTGACACTTCAAGCTGCTGATATTCAACACAACATGGTACATTTTATCTTCTAATTTTAAACATTTCTTTAACCCTTTTAAAAAAATATTTTCTATATTTTAACTTTTGTTTTTGTGAAGCACCTCGTGATTTTAATCTTGAGAGGTGCTATGTAAAAGATAGTTTTCTTTCTTAAATAGATTTTAAATTCTATGATACCTTTAATAAATTTCAGTTGATTTAAGCTGCAGAGAAAGCTAAAAACTAAACAATTTAAATCTCAAAACTATTCTAAAACCATGGCTGGACTTTCAGAACTAAATGTATAATAAAAAGGTGTTACTTGTCTATTTATTTGCTAGTCAGGAAAATGTCTAATTTATTAACATTTTCGACATAAAAACTATCGCACGTTTTATCTTTAACTTCATTCTCTGGGTTCTGTTTGTCTTTATGAGAAAATAAAATAGCCTCTCCAGTTCTTCTCCATCTCATATGTTAGAAATTATTTTTGATCATTAATTAGGAGCTAAAACATTCAATTTCACAGCTGCAAATGTGCAGCTTCCCCGTAACAACAGGTAGCACTACTCTGATCACAAAGATGCACATAAGCGCTGAAGGGCTGTTTGAGCTGTCAGAAATCAAGCTCTATATCTATATTCTCATGTGAGTTCATAGCACTGATGATGCAAAGTGACACACAGCTAAAATCTCAAATTCCTCAGTTACCTGTCAGTTTGCATGACTTCATCTCATTCCTAAAGGACACAAACGAGGGAAGAACAGCAGCTAAAAAAAGGCATAAATGTCATTTTTATTTGGGTTGGTGATCCAAAAAGATCCTCTTAGTAAGAAAGATTTACTTCAGTCAGAATGATCTTTCTTGTAGTCCTAAGTTCTTATTCCTTTTTACACCGGGGTGCTCTCAAACGTGCAAACAGGATGCCTTTCTTATTCATGCCCATTTCTACACAGTGGGTACGAGTCGTTTCCATGAAGAAGGCGTTTTTAAAGCAGCATTAAAAACTGTTTGTAACACTATAGTTGGTTTCAAAAGACACCATGGTGGCATATCAGGGTAGTACTCCTGCCTTGGTGAGCCCTTTGAATGCGCTGTAGTGGCATTGCTCCATTTGTGCCGCCAAGCTTGATAGTAATTTTACCACAACGCTGAATTATGAATGAAGACCACACCTTCACAAAACGAATGGTGATGTCATGATGATGTGACAAATGTCCAACCAAACCCCAGCCAACAACAGCATTTAAAGTGCAAGTCAATATGGGAAGCCATCTTTGCATTCGTTAACAGAGTCAGCTGAGATGGCAAACTGGAGCGATGCAGAGGTCCATGAGCTTCTAGCTGAAGAACAGATTGCCAGACAGGAACATGGCTTCAATTGGGATAAAAATTGAGTTATGCCCAAGTTAAAAGGATGTCCATGACAGCGCTTCGACAACACGGACACCACCCTCACATGTCACTGTACAATCGTTTGTGAAAAAGACATGATGGTGTTACATTGCCACCACAGGGCATCCACTTATGAATGACAAATAGTTGACACAATTGGTATAAGACCGCCCATACACAATGGATACGGTCAACCATTAAAGCATAAGATTATCTTAAATTTTCAACCCGTCTTTGGTAACTTTGCTGCCATAAATCCAAATGTAACAAATCTATGTAACTGTAAAACAATCTAAAATGTTCTAAAGTGTGGTGTTCTATGGTCACAATCAAGGCAACCTTTAGCTCAGTGCTCAGCGCTAGGCAACAAATTGACAAGACAGCTCAACCAGGACAGGCTGCATTCATAGACGACAGGTCCATCACCTAAACATTTAGGTATTTAGAGCAACTACAGAGATCCGTCCAATCCATTATTTATAAAATTAAAAACACTAAAATTCTATGATCTGGTGGACTACAATATTTTAAAATGTATGTAAATTGCAAACAAACCTGCAGGTTTAATCAAAAGATTTACAAAATTTACAAAAAGACATGGCAAATATGATTTAAAAGGACATGAATTATTTAATATACCTAGACATAGGATACTCATAAAGGAACATTGTGTGTCCATATATGGAGTTAAAATGTGGAATAAAGAATGCAAAAACTATATTGACTTTCAAAAAAGAGATAAAAAATGAAATGATTAACTTATATAGATCTGTTACATAAACCCGTGAGGGGAGGGGGGTTGGGGGGTGAAAGAAAAAAAAGAAAAGAAAAAAAAAGGGAAAAAGGGAACAAGTCTATGTATCCATATGTGTATTTACGTAAGTATATATGTATATAACTTTATGCTTCTTTCTGTGTTACTTGTTTTCTCTCTTTTTTCAATTCATGGGTTGAGGTTGTGTCGGCCAACCAGTCCAGAAACAATATTGTTCATATTTTCTTAAGAATCATATGTTTGTTTCATTTGTAAAATATTTTATTTTAGTTAAAAGGGGCAGATAACATACATTTTTCTTCTTTCTGTCACCTTTTTCATTTCGGCTTTTTAGCAATTTAGTTTTGTATTTTTATTTTAATGTCAATAAATGAAAACAAAGTTGAAAACAATAAAAATAATAATTACCGAAAAGAACAGAACCAGACTCAACAGAACATGTCAGCTAAATTTGTAAACAGAACATAACATTATGTCCTTTACTCTAGGCAGCCCAGCTCTAGCTTTGCTTCCTGTTCAACTGCTCCAAGTTGAGATCATGCAATTTGTGCACATAGAGGGGCATATGGAGAGGAGGGAGGGACGTTCAGAGGGGCAGCTTAATGGATGGATTACAGTCCAATTATTTTAGACCAGGACGTTCACAATGACTGGATGATGTTTTTCCAGGTGTGTAATTGTCAGAGGTGATTAAAATTGGTTCCTTTTCTTTTGATAACACATCAGCTTTATTGGTTGCCATCAGTATACGATTGGCATTTCAATCAATATGGCAAAAAAATGCTCCACCTTAAAGAGAACCTAAATGTTGATCCACTATATATATGTTAAACATCAGAATGAAACCATTCACCCTACAGACTAGGGCTGCTCGATTATGGCAAAAATAATAATCACGATTATTGTGACTGAAATTGAGATCTCGATCATTTAAGACGATTTTTCAATTAATGCTGATTTTATTTGTTTTTATTCAGTCATAAAATTGCTCAGGGCACAATCAGGACAAAAATAAATAAGAAACAAGATGATCACTAAAATAACTCCTGATTCCCAGTATAAAAAAGACCAATATACTTTTAGCTCATAGTCTATGACCCAAGGGCTATAGACCTTGGTTTAACTCATTTAAGTCTAACCAGTACAGACCCAAATACCAATATCTTGCAAATACTGACAGCAAGAATTATACAGCAGCATTTATAACAAATACATGCAAATAAATTGATGTTCACAAAATTTTGCATAATATGTATTTAGTAATGTCAAGGTGCTGTAGAAGAGTGCACTAGCACCGTGTCCTCAGAGGTTAGTTATTATTTATCAGCATGAGGAACTTATTTCTACCTTATTTATAAACTATTTATTTACAGGTCCATCAGTTAATAATTGTCCCAACAACAGCTGCACCGTCAAAGTTGGCAACACTGGGAGGAGCGCTTCATTTGCAACTCAGGGCAGCGCATGTGGGAGGAGCAAATAATCGGCTTGTTTTGTTTTTATAATCGTTCAAAACTCAGATCATAATTGGGATTAAAATTCAATTAATTGAGCAGCCCTACTACAGACAAAGTGTTTGTCTGTGGAAGCAGGTGGACCTACCTAACATCTAGAAGAGGACCTTTGAAGGTGGTCTGTGGCTTCCTGGCTCCTTTGACTCGAACATTTGTGTCTACTTTCTCGCTGACATCCGACTTCAGACTGTCCTCCAGGAAATTCACCTAAAACAGCAAAAAGTGTTTCATTAGCAAATGGAAAATAACTAAATGGGCCTTTCTGGGGAGAAAATCTGTGAAATAGTGATCTTTGAATAGTATTTTGTAATGGGAATGGTCCTGGTGGTCCCACCCACAAGGTTCAATGGTGAAAAACCTTCAGAGTAATTTTTATTACATTGTTATAAAACAAGAAAAGGGACGAGTATAAACATTGTATCAATAAATTAAACATTTTTGGACTTTAGAGTGCAGTAAAGACACTTCATCCCATCTTATCTTCCAAAGAGCATTACAAAAGCCGAATATAAAAGTGGCGGGATGGTCGTGTGACCTTCAAATGGCTGTTTGTACAAAAGGAAATCAATCAGCTATCAGTTAGCAGATACCATGGCAATCTTCTGTAATAGTAGATGAACATAGACGTTATGATAGTTGAATCTTTATTGGGAAACTCCTATAATTACTCCTGACCTTTGTTCCAAATGACCTCCACAACAACAAGCCTGCCCAGTAAAACCAAACCGAAATAACCCACAAACTCGTGACTTTAATAAAGACAAAAAAGTACGATCCCCTCCTTGAATACGAGTGGTTCAAACAGGGTAAAAGTCACAAGATCGCTCAGACGTGGGAGATTTTGCATCAGCAAAACACTCCCGAACTTTAGCCCAAATCTGCTGGGAGACAACCGCGCAAAGCCTGATGGGATTGTGAAAGAAACCGCGTTGACTTGACCTATTAGGAACGAAGCAGGTCAATTTAAGGAAGTGTCACTTCCACCACAGAATGTACTATAGGTTATTAATGATGTGAGATGGGAGTAAAAGAGAGCAGGTCAGAGGAAGTGCTGAACCAACCAGATGTGTGATAGAAACCGTCGTCTCAGAGGGGAAACAGATATTCTCCTTTAATCAGCAATAAAACGTTCCAGCCTAATTAAACGGCTCTGTCATGCAACTACTCCCAAGATCCCCCCAAAAAGACACCATCTTCTGTTAAAATGACTATTTATTCATTTTCAAGAGCAGGGTTAACACAATCATGTTGTCAGTAGAAAATATCCTCAAGTTAGTTCAGAATTTGAGATAGAGTGCAGTTTAATACAGACACTGGAATTAAAAGTACATTAGTAAGAAAAATAACAGATTCTAACACTGATTTAAAACTTAATTTCGGATTAATAAAGAACAAATACTTGGTTTATTACGAGAAACAAATCCTATAACACTAAAATCATTGCCCAGAGAAATAAAAACGACATTGAAAATGACAGAACTCGGCTGATTTACACACTTTGTGTACGATTTCAAATGCAAGGACAAGAAATGATTGATGCTTTGATTGTAATTGATTACAAAAATAATAATTGCAATACAATTTAAGGCACAAATACAAGATTGTCTACAAGATTGAAGGTGTCCAGTCCCAGACTTGGTTAGAGTTTGTGTTAAGAGGACAAGGGCACAGGAGGCGCTCATTAAAAAGTTGCCGAGATGGCAGACGTAGTTTCAGATTAATTGCTTGTGGGTTAATAACTTGGGTCTACTGAAATAGAACAGTAATTATCTTAGCAGTTATTAAAATATGAAGTTAGACGATACAAATAGTGTGAAATTGTTGGGGGACAGTATTTCTCTAAGAGCTAATTAAACTTTGAAATCTCGCTTTCATCAGCGATCAATGTGCAAATAATCAGCAGCCTGCCACTGAGGCACGCTTCTCTTCGAGTGTCAGAAATGTTGTGCTTGAACTGTGGGGACAGAAATGTAAGATCCATGACAGGCCAAGAAAATGTCAAGGAGTTGGTGGCAGCGTCAGCGTCAGGTGACCGTGAGGAAGGTGTGCTCACAATGGTGCGAGTCACCTGAGCACACCTGCCTTTCCAGTCTGCAGAGATCATCCCGACTCTGAGCTCCTGCCTGCTGCTGTGATCCCACACTGCCTTATCACCCGCGGTCCTTGTTTCAGAAAAAAAAAAAAAAAAAAAAGAGAAAAAAAAAGAGAGAGAGAGAGGAAGTTAGCTTCCATTCAGTCATCAGCCATGTTGCTTCCTGGAACTTGGGGGAGGACTTCAACCCGGGTGGATAAGTCTATACAAGGTGGTGATGGAGAAGTGGAGAGCTTGATTTATTTAGACGAGGCGGACCTGGAGCAGGAACACTGGGTGGAATGCATTCAGACAGGCCCGTCATAGGTTAGTACTTTACCGGAGTTTTAGTCACCGCTCCCAGAAACAACATGAGGGGGAAAACAAAGGGCAGGTGACACCGCTGGTTGACCTGTGAATAAAAATATATACCGGCAAAACTCCCAGAAAAAGAGCGTCTCTGTCATCCAACTAGAAGAAAAACTTCCACACGTGTTAAAAAAGAGAAACAAAGTTTGGGTTTAGAAGGAAGTGATGAAGCAGAAGGTCTGTGACACTAAAACCATGAATGAGGAAGTTCCTGACCAAAATGTCTGCTCTGTTTTTATTAAATACAAGACTTTCAGCTGGTTTAAGGACTCCGTCCTTTAGAGATGGATGGGTGTGTGTGTGTGTGTGTGTGTGTGTGGGGGGGGGGGGGGTCACATCAGAGTGATTGTGTAAGTTCATTTTGACAGGTTAGGTTGAAAAACATCTTCTTCCCAGCAGCACTTGCCACCTAGTCAGCTGATGGTAGCAATGCAGTTTGACTTTTTAAAATAAACGTAAACACATCGATTCAAGACCAGAGACCTGAATAAAACTACAAAAACTAAAAAAATAAAAATAGAAGAGATGACTTCCTGTTCTACAGCAGAGGCATAAAACCAGCCCTTATTACTGCCAGGTTAACTGTAAACTATAATCTCTCCTGCATAGCCAGTGTTGCTTAACAATTATGGGCCATTCCCATCTGTACCGGGTCGGCCCGGGCCGGGTAGCCCCAGTCGGCCCCAGCCTGGCCCGGTTGATTCCACACATCCTTGCCTTAAGCCCATGTGGGCTGATTCTACCCACCAATCAGAGGCTTGCTCTAATGGAAGGTGTGAATTTGCTGTCAGCAGTGGGCGTGTTGGCCCTGGTCGGCCTGAAGCAGACCCCCTCGAGAAGAGGGCTGAGAATGAGCCTTGGTTGGCCCGGAAAAATACCAGGCCACCCAGATATGTAAACAACCTACGCTACCCGGCCCGGGCCGACCCGGTACAGATGGGAATGGCCCATTAGGCTGTTGTTTGGTCGCTACAGGAAGCTAGCGGTTGTAGCTTTGGGTGATGGATTAAAGCAGATGTGGTGGACTGCAGATGAATTCCTAACTGTCCAGTCTGCAGAAAAGAAGCTACAATGATTATAATCTGAGGGCTGACTAGTCCTGAACTGAATCTGAGCCATAAGTGGCATAAGCTGCAGGCCGGCTATAGCTGCCACGCAGCACAGTGGCACCAGTCTGAGAAGAAGGTGACGGCAGCTGTAAAATATTCCGTCTTTGGGTTGTTTTAGTGGCGAGGCTGCCTAGGAGGAGAACTTAGTGACAGCATGGAGGGGCTTAAAGTAACAGACCGCCGGAGGAGCAGGTCTTTTGAGGGATCTGTTGGCTTTAAAAAGCTCCACAAGGAACAACAGTTAGGAGCTTAATGATTCCCATATCAGTGGAATCTGACGTTCAGCCTAAACAAAAGCAGGGCAGGAGTTTGGATGTGATCTGATGAGCATAAACAGTAAGTATGTAAAAGGATGACAGACAAATTTACCTTTTTGGACTTTGGCACAAGCTCAGAGGTGCTGCTGGGTTCCAGGGTGATGGTGCTCTCCGTGTCGTCGTCACTGATGATAGGTCCGTTGTCACAGATGGGCGTTTGGAAGTCGTCGTCGGGCAGAGGTGGGTAGGTATACTTGAAGGGGTCCTGGAATGTGACAGCGTCTAGTTTACGACTAAAGCGTGGCTCTTTAAGGGTTAAGGCTCTGATAAACACAGTCTAAAGTTGCACTTAAACAAACAGAAAGATGGATGCCGGGAATAAGAAGAAATAAATATAAAACTTTTATCTCTGTAGAAGATAAATGAGCAGCATCACTTTGGTGTTTTCCACAGCTCTAGAGGTGAACACGGCCCTTTCTCTTTAATAATCTAATAATTATTACAAAATATAGAAAAAAAGAAATAATTCTGACTTTTGATTACTGACATTAAAGTCAGAATTATTTTTCTTTCCTTCTATTCTTTTTCAGTGAAACCAATCCTCTTCCATACTCATAAGAGCAAAAAATAAATGATTTATTATGGGTTCCATCAGTACACAGAAATGTTTACATAAAAACACAAATGCGTGTTTAAACACGTCATAATTTTAATGGAGTTCCCCTAAAACTACAAGCCACTAAATCTTCTCTTAAAAGGTTGCATATGGAACAAGTTAGGGTAGAAGTATTTGTATGTATGTATATATATATACACTTTTACGGGGCACTGAGAGGTTTGAAGAATAAAGATAAAGTTTTTTTTAACTATAATTTAATAAATAGATAATCAAATATTTATTTTGATGGGTACGGCACTAGGTTTATGTTTACATCTACCAGCCAATAGAGGGCACCGTTGCGATTTGCCAAACAGTGGAAAATGGTGGACTCTGCAAGTCAAACAGCTGCTTCTGAACCCAGAAGATGTCATTATCCTTCTCAGCGAAAGAGCAACTATAACAGTTCCAAAACCATTTTAGGTGAATCCTACAACAGATGGACCCAAATAAACAATTTCATGTATCGACAGCGAACCTGGTATCCTGACGGCTGGAAACCTTGTTCAATTGTCGCAACTACACTCTCCACACGCTAGATGTCACTTTGTATTGGTGTTCGTGTTCCATATTCAACCTTTAATGTCAGAAAATTAAATAATCTGAAGCCATTTGGTGATGATTTTTGGGAGGAAGGGCATACCGTTCCACCCATGTGAGGAGGCAGGTACTCTGGATCAATGAACGTCTGGACCTCAGATTTGGAGGCAAACTTGAGTTTGCTGATGGCTTCTGGACCCAACCACGTCTTCACAATCTTCCAAGCAGCTGTGGGAAAAGTTTTCCAAGTCGTTCATGAACATAAATATAATAATACCGATCACAAACAGGGCTTCGGCTCTTACCGTTCATGATCCACGGCATATCCACTATGATCATTTTGGCTAAAAGGACAAAAACAAAGTCAAGGCTTTAAATTTCTTAATCCGACTCAAAATAAATAATAATCTGAAATTTGTTTTTAGTTTAAACAATTTCCACTTACATAGAAACTTTGGATAATACACTTTGAAGCAATTAACGATGTACTTTACAAAGTCCATGTCCTAAAAACACACACACACACACACACACAAACACGCACGCATGCACAAAAGCATTAAAAAAGAGATTTGCAACCAAATTCTTCAGGACTAAAATATGAATGAACAAATATTGCATTATTATGCATTAATAAATAAAGGATCCTTTTATTAACATTCCTGATACTGTTAACTATTAGTGTCCTTAAGGCTAGGATAAAGGGCCAGGGAGGGTCTAATTAGTAATGCATTACTTAATGTTAAAATTAGTATTAGGTAGTTGTGAACACCTTATTTAATTGTTTATTATTGCTTAATAATGCACTCAGTAACATTATTAAAGGGACCCCTATTGCAGTTACCGTTCTCTTTTAACCACCACTACATCTGAAGTGACCCACTTATGAGTAAATGAAAATTCACTCAAACTCATTTGACTGACGCTCTCACCCTCACTAGAACGGCAGAAAAATAACTCACTGTGCTCATATTTTTAAATAAAAACAAATTAAATCCTGAACCTTTTTCTGTATAAGCCTGGCAAATTCCCTATGTTACCTACCTTTAAAATAATTTCTGATGAAAGGATGAATTTCATTTACTTTGGTGTTTTATGCTAATTCAAAAGTTCCCACAAAAGGTCAAAGTGTCAACAGGAAAGACGTTTTCACCCCATAACCCATAAATGCCTCGATGCCTTGTTGCTATGCAGGACACCCTCTCCTATCCTTAATGAGATCATACCGACTTCTCATCGTCCAGCTAGCACCGTGGTCCAATAAAACCCAAACACGACAGCCTCCTGAGCTGAAAACCTACCCAGCTCATTTAATATCAGAGCTTCAAAGATGTTTCCCTTCCTGCTTTTGCTCGGTGTTGGTTTATTTGCATTTAATTGAGCCGTTTCTCCTGTAAAAGAGCGAATACGCTCACAGAGAGCTCGGCGAAGGAGCCGACGCCTGTGACAAAGCGAGTCAACGGATTAGACAGCCCTACTCCAAATGACCATCAGGATTTAAAGGTTACTTTAATCTCCAAAGTGTTAAACCATTAAAGAGCAGCCGAGTGTGTGCAACACCATAACACAGAAAAAGGAGCGTACTATGTTGCTGTAGCCAGACTCCGACATGTCGAACACAACGGTAAGAAGCATCCCGGGTTCCTTCTTGGCGTATCGCTCCAGCCAGAAGGCCACGTACTTCTTCTTGTCCAGGGCGGTTTTTGCATCCTTGACGTGCAGCTTCACCTTAAACCAGACTAAACACACGGACACGTTGGTTTATTTATTTATTTTTTAAGGCAGAAAGTAACAAATGGGTAAGACAGTAATAAGCACATGTACTTACAGAGTTTATTTCCTTCTTTGTCATAGCCGTGGAGGTAGACAGCACCGGTTTCAAACATCCATTTTGGAATTACGCTTTCAGTAAGATCTGAAAACAACACAAAAGATAAAGGAAAGCTGACAAGCAACACATTCATTCTGAAATATCAGTACTTTGAGCTAAAAAATGACTAAATCTAAAGTTAAAAGGACACTTGTTATCAGCTATTCAGTTCAAATAAAGAACCAACAGCATGAGGACCAAGTCGTGCTTGGCCTGAGATCATGACGGCTCAAAATAAATCACATTTTCTAAAAAAACAACTGGCTGACAAATAGAATTTGCCGGATTAAAGGCCAGCAAACAACAAGTCTTTCAAATTTCTGAGGAGAGACTGAGCACATTGTTCTCTGGGGGCAACTTATGTATGGAGATATGGGTGTTAAACACACAAAGGGACTCTGTGTTGTTGTCCGATAAGCACAAGCCAGCCACTGATAGCAAGCCTGCAACATTTCTGCTTTCAGGAAAAGCCGGATTGAGACTTGCAGAATTTTTCTTTTACGTACGTAACTGTTTTCTGATTTGTGTTCAGCATGTTTAGACAACCCTGGGGGGAATTTTCACTTTCATTTGCACACGCCAAAGTCACAACTGAATGTTATTGTGGGTAAAAACTTGCAATGCACACAGTACCTATTACATCACCAGTGATTTAAAAAAAACGTAATAATAACAACTCACCATTTACACCAAATTCCCTTCTCCACTGAAGGCTCTCATCGATCATCTTCAAGGCATCATCAACAACGTTTAGTCTCCATGCCAGGTAGCTCTCCACCAGAGCATTGTCCTTAAGAAGCCTCTCCACGTCCCTGGGGTCATATTTCTCTGTTGTATCTGTAAACAATGACACAAATCACGTGACTTTCAGTTTTTAAATATATAAAAAATAGGGTTCAATTTTTCCAACCAAATGGTTTCACGCTTAAAACGTTTAAGTGTGATAAACAGCCTGATGGTCATATTTCGTTATTATTACATATTAGTTAACTTCTCTGTTTCATCTTACTGAGCTCTAAGCAGCCCTACAACACATTTGATCTATTTTATTGTGTCGGACTACCCAGAAACCAGGAGGCAGCCAGCAAACACCCAACTGTAAATAAAAGTGACCAGAGTCACTGACACCTTATCCACCGTGTCTGTTACCTTTGAGTAACTCATTCTTGAATCTCAGCCTGATCTCTTCGATTGTCTTTTCAAGTTCCTGCCCCAACAGAGAATTAAGAGGTTAAAACCACACTCGGTGATCGGAGCTATTTGTTCCATCGCTCGTCAACTACCTGTTCGCCTTCCTGCGGCTCATGTTCGGCCATATTCAGCTATGCCTCGGGTCTGTGCGGTTCCGCGTTGTCGGTGTGCTAGTTAGCTTACTAGCTGTTCTGAAGAATCAGTGCAAAGTGTGAAACTGGTGTCCGTACGTTGCCATTTTGGCTCAAACTGAAGCTCCGCCTCTCTCTACACAGTTTGTCCGCCGCCCGAAGAGGTGCTCTGTTGAAAACAAGCACCCTCGTTGTAAAAACGGTGGTTTTAGGTCACAAATGTGACAAATAGATTCGCGTTTTACGTTTTCTTTTTTCTTAAATTTACAAATACATACATACTGTCTACAACATTCTAGGCTACTGAGGCATAACGGATTGTCAGGCTAATGCATTTTAAACACTTATTTGAAATAGCATATTAAAATAATTTTAAATAATCGTGACCCCGCAGTTACAGAAATGTCATTTATGATTTTTAAACAACGAAAAGAAATGCCGTTGCACCCGGTTTCGTAGGCAGGCGTGCTCAGGGACACTGTTTTCGGCACAACACCGAAATGCAAAACCATGGCATTGCTACAAAATTATTTAATACGTAAGTGACGCGTTAACAAAAAAAACACCAGCCGTATACTTTGTTTATACCCTCAGATTTGCGAAAGTATATATCTGAATAAATGAGTTTGATGGTCGCTGATTTGTTTTGTTTACCTATTGTTTACCCATAATGCACTTCGATTGTCAGGAAGTGTTCGTGGCGCGCTACTTCGAGTGATCTAATTTTTTCTCGTAGAAAGTTCGTTTGACAGGAATCGCTACGTGATGGAGGGACTTTCTTCTGATATTTTTCGTCAAAATTTCCATCTCATCTCTCATTTTGGAAAGATAATCTCATTTAACTGCAAACAGTATTCAACCGTAAGCGACGGCGAAGTGAGCGAACTGATTTTTCGCAGGTTTTTCTTTGAACCTCGAGGCAACGCGTTCCTGAAGGCAGCAGAAGGGTCAGTCGTCATCAGCAGGAAAACAACAGACAAAGTAGAGATTGCGACATGCAAATGTGTCACAGATGTCCAGAAGAGAGCTAGAACACCTTGTGTTTTGGTGTCAAAGAAGAGAGTGAAAGGCGATAAATTCGTTTATCGTCTTTTCACGCTGAGCAGCTTAAACTGCCTGGAGCCCTGCATTGAATTTAAACTCTCCTACGAAATGCAAGACAGCGTGTGCATCCTTCAGGGTCCCACAGTGTTGTGGTGTCACGAGAACAGGATTTTTTACACATCCATCCATGCAGAAGGGGTTAAACAAATACCCATAGAAATATCTCATTGTATTTTTGGAGAGCTTCCCATCCCCAAAGGACACATTTTTGTTCTTGGGCTGCAAAGTCGTCCAGAACAGTTACCAAATAACCATCCAACAAACCAAGTAGTCGGCTACTTTCCTTGGTATGGGCAGGTGTTTAATGGCGCTGCTATTTTACCTCATCCTTATATTCCCATTGCACAGTGTGTTTTGGTGCTTTCGGCTGAAAAAGACGACCATTTGCTGAAATGTGCTGTGGTTGCAGCAACTTCAAATCAGCAACTTGTGTATTTTGAAAATGGAATTGTGAAAGATGTCTGCAAGCTACCCTTTGAGCATGCTGAAGACATTCAGGTGGTTAACACAGGAAGAAATGGCATCCTGTTTGTGATTTTCTCTAAACAGGGGAATGCTTGTGCAATATGGAAAGAAACATTTCAGGTATGCTTGGTTTGACATAGTTTTTCCTCCTTTTTCCTGATTTAATGTGTTTTATTATTCCTAATATGTTCACTCTTTTCCAGGTCGCTTCTCATTGGTCTGGAGTCAGCTCCGTCTACGTGGATGATTATCTGGGATGTGGAACAGACCAGATGCTGCTTTTTAGAGATCAAGGAGCAGCTTTGGAAAGCTTCCTTCTCACTGACCTTTGTGGTATTTCCTTCTCTGTAAGGCCAAATCTTTATTCCCTGAGCCACAATGAACTTCTTCACAGTTAGATGATGAAATTCACATTTTACGAAGAGTGCAAAGACTAAATTCAAAGTATGCCTTTCAGTGGGGTCAAGAATCTGAAGCATCAAAGACCACCCCGCCACCACAAGAAAACTTTCTCCTGACTCTTCAAGCTTTAGAATCCAGGCTACAGGTGAGTCCATGAAAGCATTAAGGTATGGAAACACTAATATAATGTCACATTTAACGTACTAATTGGATTTCTTAGTCATATGTTGTATAATCAATGATCTGAAAGGAGTATATATATGAAATAAACCTCTTGAAAAGGCCCTTCATTCAGACTCACAACACGCGTTCGTTAAGTGCTGTCAGTCAAGTGTTATTTGTAATTTAGAGTGGATTGATCGTCCTTCAAGAGCTTCAAAGCGAAGTGAGAGTGAAGGACAGAGTTCTGCAGCAGTCAGTCCGAGTCCTCACTGATGCGCTTTCAGAACAAGAGACCGTTCTCTCCCAGCATGAGCAGGTACACGTTTCACATTCATGTTTTACAATCCAAACTGCTTGCAGAAAATTGAACTTACTTGCTTACTTACACGATGAGACTTTACACTGCTTAATACTTTCACTGCCTTATATTCCATGTTTCACAAAACCCGTAACGGTTCTATAAAAACATGTAGAGGAAACACAAGTTAGACAAATAATTAAAAATAATTTTTTATAGGTACTTTCTCTGCGAGCTGCTCTAAGAGAGAATTTTCTGAGCTCTCTAAAGCCCTGTACCGAGTTTAGGTTCTCAAAGTGAATCAAGGACGGTGCGCTCAGGGCTCCACGTTGTGGAGTTACGGGAGCAGTATCGCTGCGGGGGGGGGGGGCAGAGTTGGAAACATGTTGAAATCTCATGCTGTGTTTTTGTAGAATCTTCCTTCCCTGATCGAAGGCGATGTTTCTTTGGCTGCAAAGCTTTTCAGAACACTTCATAACCAACCTACTTTCTGTAGATAATGCTATGGCTGACAGTTTAGCGCCATTGCAGCATCCGTGTGTTTTGTATAAGATTGCTTGGCCTACTGTAGTCATAGGTCTTATATAGTAATAAGTTCAGATTTCCACGTCCGCTTTTAGATTTGTCCGGATTGTTGTCTTACATCTTGTATCGATGGGGTATCAGGACTAATGAGTCCAGGAGGGTTTGTTTTTGGGTGGTACGTTTGTTAGAAAACTCAAAGATCCACAACGGTTGGTTAGCTGGGGACTTTAAAATTACATTTGATTTGTTTTGTTTTCTTTAGATAATCTGACTTGTTCTCAAACATACGTTTAACCCTCTCAGGCTCAAAATACGTTCTGATAAAAGGATGAACAACTAAGTCCTTCAGGGGTACTTCTGGGTTAAAAAATGCTCATGAAATACATATGTGGAGTAACCAGGTAGGTAGGTTTTAACCCTCCGGAGGCAGGCGTTGCAGATTTGCAACAATTAAAACCTGCTGACCTGGTTACTCCTCATACATATTTCATGAGCATTTTTTAACCCCGAAGTACCCCTGAAGGACTTAGTTGTTTGTCCTTTTATCAATTCAATTAAAGTTCATTTATATAGATAAAGTTTATTTATGTAGCGCCAAATCACGACAAGAGTCGTCTCAAGACACTTCACATAGTAAACATTCCAATACAGGTCAGTTCCTTAAGCCAATCAGTAAAAAGTTTCCTATATAAGGAACCCAGAAAATTGCATCAAGTCACTGACTAGTTCAATTCAATTCAAGTTTATTTATATAGCGCCAAATCACGATAAGAGTCGTCTCAAGGCACTTCACATAATAAACATTCCAATTCACAGTTCATTAAGCCAATCAGAAATAATGTGTCCTATATAAGGAACCCAGCAAATTGCATCAAGTCACTTACTAGTGTCAGTGGCTATACAGCAATCCTCATACTAAGCAAGCATGCAGCGACAGTGGAGAGGAAAACTCCCTTTTAACAGGAAGAAACCTCCAGAGAATCCTGGCTCAGTATAAGCAGCCATCCTCCATGACTCACTGGGGATCGAGAAGACAGAGCAGACACACACACACACACACACACACACACACACACACGCACGCACGCACGCACGCACGCACACACACACACACACACACACACGCACACACACAATAATGTGTCTACAGTTCTATTGTGATGTCTTAGTAAATATTCTATTTGGTGAGATAAACTTTATTGTATTTATCCTAGTGGATCTCTAATTTAATGGGTAAACTAGCAGTAACACGTCCAACGTCAAGGAAAGCAAAAAGTTATTATCAGGAGAGGGAGAATGTTTAAGTGGTTAGCGGCAGTGTGCTAGGTGATGGCCCCCTCCATGAGGCCACCACAGCTCAGCAGAACATCATTGTAGCTTCTTCTGGGGAGAAAAACACTTAGAGAGAAAATAAAGTTAACAGCTGAAATTGCAGAAAATAATACAGTTAAAGAGCAGATAGTAGAAGAAGGTAGTAGAGTGTGAAAAGTGGTCAGTGTATCCTCCAGCAGTCTAAGCCTATAGCAGCATAACTACAGAGATAACTCCGGATAATCTATCCTATTTAGATGGAGGCATGTTGGAGGCAGGGCAAGCGAGAGCCGTCTTTACCGACTGTACACTCCACCTCCCTCTACTCCCCCACTTGTCCAGATGTAGGCTAACATCAGATTTTAACCATAGGCTCTATCAAATAAAAATGTTTTAAGCCTATTCTTAAAAGTAGACAAAGTGTCTGCCTCACAGACTAAGGCTGGGAGCTGGTTACACAGGAGAGAAGCCTGATAACTAAAAGATCTGCCTCCCATCCTAATTTTAGATATTCTGGGAACCACCAGTAGACCTGCAGTCTGAGAGCGAAGTGCTCGGTTAGGAACGTATGGAACAATCAGATCACTGGTGTATGATGGAGCTTGATTATTAAGAGCTTTATATGTGAGAAGGAGGATCTTAAAATCTATTCTGAATTTAACAGGTAGCCAATGTAGGGAAGCTAGGACAGGAGAGATATGATCTCTCTTTTTAATTCTCATCAGAACTCTAGCTGCAGCATTTTGGACAAGTGAAGACTTTTAACTACATTCTGTGGACTTCCTGAGAGTAATGAATTACAGTAATCCAGTCTTGATGTAATAAATGCATGAACTAGTTTTTCAGCATCACTCCTGGAAAGGATGCTTCTAATCTTAGCAATATTCCAAAGGTGGAAAAAGGAAATCCTACAAACCTGTTTAACCTGGGAATTGAAAGACATGTCCTGATCAAAGATAACACCAAGGTTCCTTACTTTGTTCTCAGAGATTAATGTAATGTCATTCAGGTCAGGCGACTGGCTAAGCAATTTCCTTTTCTGGATTTCTGGTCCAAAGATGAGAACTTCCGTCTTGTCTTGATTTAAAAGCAAAAAGTTTAGAGTCATCCAATGTTTTTTGTCCTCAAGACAAGCCTGTAATCTACCCAACCGATTAGGTTCATCAGGGTTAATGGATAAATATAGCTGAGTATCGTCAGCATAACAGTGGAAGTTTATCCCATGCTGTCTAATGATTTTACCAATTGGGAGCATATACATAGTAAAAAGAATTGGTCCAAGCACTGAACCCTGTGGTACTCCACAAGTAACCTAGAGTATGAAGAAGATTTGTCATGTACATTTACAAAATGAAATCTATCAGACAGGTAGGATTTAAACCAGCCCAGTGCTGTTCCTTTGATCCCTACAACATGTTCAAGTCTAGTGTCAGTGTCTTCATAGCAATCCTCGTACTAAGCAAGCATTTAGCGACAGTGGAGAGGAAAACTCCCTTTTAACAGGAAGAAACCTCCAGAGGACCCTGGCTCAGTATAAGCAGCCATCCTCCACGACTCACTGGGGATGGAGAAGACAGAGCAGACACACCCACACACACACGCTCACCAAACACACAACATATATACCAAGTAATGTTTCTATGGTTACATTGTGATTTCTTAGTAAATATTCTATTTGGTGAGAGATAAACTTTATTGTATTTATCCTGGTGAATCTATAATTAAATGGGTAAACTAGTAGTAGCACAACTTATCAAAACTTATTTTGAGCCCTGAGAGGGTTAACTGTTGCAAAGCTGCAACGCCTGCCTCCAGAGGGTTAATCAATAGATGCAAATTACGATAAAGAGGTTTTCATCTACTTTTGTTGAAAGTAGAGACACGGCTGTGTTCAATTTCAGGGGCCACATCCTTCCAATGTTGCATTTTAAAGCTGTTACAGCAAATTTACAGAACAAGCTAGGTCATCCAAACACGGTCATTAAACACTTCTGGCAGAACCGGAAACTAGGGCTGGGCAGATCAATCTAAAATATCGATAGTATCGATCTAACGTTGGCATTGAGTATTTACTAGATACCTGCGTGATGGTATCGATTCCGTTTCTTCTAGCCTGGCAAGCCATGACGTACTCACCGCTACAGATGTCGGTCAACGAGGCAGTCCACCAAACTCCGTCAAAGAAGATGCAAAACACATCATTTTCCTAAATAAACGTTAGTACTTCTATCTGATCTTGACTCAAACAAAAGCTAAAGTCATAATAGTCCAAACCTGATGCCAAAGCCGTTTCAAACGAGCGGCTGACCGCCGACTAGTCACGTTTTTTTTTTCCAATAACATCCCGCCTACTTTGGTGTTGCGATTGGCCCATGAAATCTATATAGTGCCGTGATTGGACCACTACAGAACGTCAGCCATCTTTATTTGTAGTTTACCTGGCTGATACCTGTGATTGGACCGTTTTGAGCGGTAGCCATGTTTGTTTGCAGGGACATCCCGCCTACCTCGCTAAAAGAGTGCTGTGATTGGCACAGCGGGCCAGCACGAGACAAGCACAGAACAGCAGAAAGCACTGTTGTGGCTGCATGATGGAAGACCGAAAAAGGAGTGCCGTTTGGAATTATTTTACCCAGCTTTATAGATTTCAAATAGAAAAAAATCTTGAGCTTGTTAATCATTTTAAACCATTTTGTGTTTCCTAATGAAAACTTTATTTGCCTGAAAATGTTCCCTGTATTTTATAATCATCGTACACATGATTTATTAAAGGAAAAATTACAAAATATTTAAGTAATCAATAAAACTTGAGTTTTCAGACAAGATTCTCCATCATCAATATGAGAATCTTGTCTGAAAACTCAAGTTTTGTTGATCCTATTTATCTTAGTAAATCCCACAAAACTAGATGTTCTAGACTAGTAGTAAAAAGTATCGGTATTGGTATCGGTATCGGCAATAGTAGCCCCTGTATTTACTTGGTATTGGATCGATACCAAATTTTGCAGTATCATACAGCACTACCGGAAACCCACACTGCCAGAGGAAACGAGAACGTGCTAAACACCAGGCTCCGTTTTCCAGGTCCAAACGTCTTTTTTTTCCTGTGACTTCAAATGGTGATTTTCTTTGTGGGATTCTTGTAGTTTGTCCTAAATTTATAGTGGTAGCAGCTGGCTGTTTCTCCTCTGATATTATTGAGCCGCGAAATTCTCACACCAGTGTTGTCAGTGTTTCGCTGCCATGCGTATCCCATGAGAGCAGGGAGGTGAAGGGGTGGATTTTGTAGCCTTGGCGTTGCAATTTCAGTCGTGGCGCAGCTCCACGCCTGACCCTGTGTGGGTGAAAACTGGGTGTTCTGTTGTTAAATACGAGTGTGTAATGAATGGAGGACCAAGGGCAGTGCGGCTGTTTAGCGATAATGACAACCGGATGGTTAAATGGTTGTTTTCAGTCAAAAACATGATGTTGGTGGAGGTTTTTAAACAAGGGCGAGATAATTTGCTGTTGCAGCTTTAGGGTCAATGTAGTGCTGGGCGATATGGCCCACAATCAATATCCCGATATATTGAGGGTTTCACCTCGATAACGATAAATGGACTATAACTACAGGCATGCGTGGGAATTTGGCCAACCAGTCTACATGTGTTTTGTGGATTTGGAGAAGGCGTTTGACCGCGTCCCCGGGGGGCCCTGTGGGGCCCTTTGGGGCCCTGTGGGGGGTACTCCGGGAGTATGAGGTACCAGGCCCTCTGATACGGGCTGTTAGGTTCCAGTATGACCGGTGTAAGAGCTTGGTCCGCATTGCCGGCAGTAAGTCGGGCTCGTTCCCAGTGAGAGTTGGACCCCGCCAAGGCTGCCCTTTGTCACTGATTCTGTTCATAACCTTTATGGACAGGATTTCTAGGTGCAGCCAAGGTGTGAAGGGCATCCGTTTTGGTGGCCTGAGGATCAGGTCTCTGCTTTTTGCAGATGATGTGGTCCTGTTGGCTTCATCAGAACGTGATCTTCAGCTTTCGCTGGAGCGGTTCGCAGCCGAATGTGAAGCAGCTGGGATGAGAATCAGCTCCTCTAAATCTGAGACCATGATCTTGATTCGGAAAAGGGTAGAATGCCTTCTCCGGGTCAGGGATGAGGTCCTGCCCCAAGTGGAGGAGTTTAAGTATCTCGGGGTCTTGTTCACAAGTGAGGGAAAACTGGAGCGTGAGATCGATAGACGGATTGGTGCTGCACCTGCAGTGATGGGCGTTGTACCGGTCTGTCGTGGTGAAGAGAGAGCTGAGTCAGAAGGCGAAGCTCTCGATTTACCGGTCGATCTACGTTCCTACCCTCACCTATGGTCATGAGCTTTGGGTAGTGACCGAAAGGAGATCGCGGATACAAGTGGCCGAAATGAGTTTTCTCCGAAGAGTAGCTGGGCTCTCCCTTAGAGATAGGGTAAGAAGCTCGGTCATCCGGGAGGGGCTCGGAGTAGACCCGCTGCTCCTCCACATCGAGATGAGCTAGTTGAGGTGGCTCGGGCATCTGGTCAGGATGCCTCCTGGACGCCTCCCTGGTGAGGTTTTCCGGGCACGTCCAACCGGGAGGAGACCTAGAGGTAGACCCAGGACACGGTGGAGGGACTATGTCTCTCACCTGGCCAGGGAACATCTTGGGATTCTCCCGGAGGAGTTGGCCCAAGTGGCTGGGGAGAGGGAAGTCTGGGCCTCTCGCCTTAGGCTACTGCCCCCGCGACCCGACTCCGGATAAGCGGATGAAAATGGATGGATGGATGGATGGAACTACAGGCATGCACAGAAACAAAAGTTGTTAACTAGATGGGGCTGTCACATGTTTTAGGTTGAGTCACATATTTATGTTTCTCAAGGTGGTACAGCTTCTTAAAAGGACATGAATGTTTCCAACCTCCGCACATCTTTTCATTTTTTATCATCAAATTTATTGATATGGAAACATTTCTCTCTCTGACAGTCAGAAATTTAGATAACGACACATTTTTGATTTATTGCCCAGCCCTAGGTCAATGACATCACTACAAAGCAACAAGACTGGCCAAAATGCGTTTTTATCTTCCTTGAATTTCATCAACAAAGGACCCGTCCTACCTGGTCAACGTCCGTTTGATCAAGTCAAGTGGCTTTTAGCCAATCAATTTGCGCCACTCTAATCACATGACACCAGTGAGGCATCGACTTGCAAGTGACGATTGCTTTGGCCAGGAGGTCACCTCATTTGTTTTGCTGTTGGATTTCCGATGTTTACTTTATGTAGAAATTCTGCTGTTGAGTTGTTATGGATGGAATCTTTGCTTTTGTATTTGAAGTAAAAAGAAGTTAACATTTCACAGGAAAATAACGCTATGTCATAAATTAAACTTCTAAAACTGTCATATCCTAGTCAGACTGTATTTCTTCGATATTTATACCTCCAGAAACTTTTTTTAAAAGCACAATAGTTTCATTTTCCTTCAATCGGGCGTTTTGTAACAACGTCCTTTAGTTCAGGATACCACTCAATATGTCCACCATGACTGCCTAAATGGTAAATTGAAATGTCTGACAGAAATTGCTGTTCTGGCCCATGGCGTTATCCCCTTGTCACTGCTGATTATAGTCTTTGCGCTCTCTGTCTAGGAAGGCCTTGTAGCTCTGTGGGACAGTGATGACGAGTCAAAAGAAGAGACTTCAGATGACAGGATGCAAGACACGCCAGCAGTGTCTTGGAAACCTCAAATTGACAAGCTCTGGCATCGCTTCACCGGGGACCGGATGGTTGTAGGAGTGATACTAACTACCGAGAGTGCCACGTAAAAACACCATTTCATTTTTAATCATGGCAGATTGTGTACTTTTGAACATGTTGGCTTTTTGGACCGAGGTTTTAAAACATCTCATCTGTTAAAAACGGCTCGCTCCAACCGCAGAGCTGTTATTATGCTGCTTGAGCAGATAATATTTGCCAGTTGTTTGCCTGATCTAAGCCCCAAACTTTAAATCAGATGCAAGTTGACAAGGTTGTCACCATGGAAACACGTTTTTAATAAGCTCCTTATGAGGGAACTAGAAGCCCTCCGATTCCTCCCTCCACCTGTTCCTGTTTTTTTTTTTTTTTTTTTTAATTTGAGAACATGCCGAGGAAAACTACTCCTGACGTTCCCGCCTCGAGCGCCTCTGTATTCCTGTTTTGATTGCCGCTCTTTTTCAGCTGATACAACTTCGCCACCTGGAAATGTTAGTGTTCATCAGTGCACACGCCATCCTAAATACACACACACACACACACACACACACACACACACACACACACACACTCCCTCACTCACTCACTCTACGTCTAGCTTTGTGTTTAATTTCCAGTTTGATTATTCAGTGTCGGTGTGATATCTGATTGTTCATGATGTGTTATTTTTGTTCCAGACCGGTGACTGATGTGAGCTTATCCCTCCTGACAGAGGCAGGCCAGAGCTCGGTGCCTGCGGTAATCCAGACCCTGAGCCAAGTGTTCCGGCTCCCCGCGCACCGCCCCTCGACACCATCCCTCTCCTCCTCCACAGCTGCCTTCACGTTCTCGGAGCCCGCAGCCAAAAGAAGCAAGCAGCGCATCGCCAGCGATGATCTCCACACAAGCAGAGTGGCTGTGACTGGGAAGACCGAGCTGGCACCTATGCTGACCTCTGGCTGCGTCAAGTGCCGTGTCATGCTCCATTACGCGCAGAAAGCAGATGCTTTATCCCCTGTCAGCAAACCAACACCAACTGTGCTGCACTGTGGTCAAATTTCTGTAGACATTCATGATGTTGTTCCAAAGCCACTGCTGAAAACACCAGAGATCAAAACAGGTACATAAAGCAGAATTTGAGATTTTAATTCTGGCACGCGGAGGACTAATAATTCATTCATCCTTTTCTTTTCTCCAGATGAGGTTAGCGAAGACTTGTTGAGTTTGTTGACGGTGCTGGATCACTGGGTCCTACACATAGACTCTCCTGATTACAGTTTGGGTGATGTAGGTGGCTGGATCCAGAAGAGAGAGGGTTGTAAGAAGGTAGAAGTGAGTCCTCAGTATCTGATCATAGATTCTTCTGCACCATCTGGTCTGATGCTCCTGCACTGGGATCAAATAACCCCGTTCCGAGGGGAATTGTCCATCCACTGCAGGTAAACCATTTATAGTTACTGGTCCTAAAGTTGACAGTTCATTTTTCTCTGTCATTTATCAGTTTTACTGGACCTTTCCACCAGACGCATAAGCGTTACATAACATCCGCAGCAATTAGCCACTGTTGAAGTGGATGGGTGCATTGCCACTTGCCATGAAGTGTCCCAGTAGCGTAGGAACCCATCTCTTTGTTAAATTTACACTTCGGGTTCGTTTTTTACATGCTGCGCTTCCAGAACGCATCAAGCACAGCAATTCAGATCAGGCCAGACAGGAAGTCTGATACTGGTCAGTGTAAAACAGTGGGAACTTTCAAAATAGGACACGTGCAGATTTAAGGTTGGCTAAACATTAAAAAAAAAAAAAAAAAAAAAAGATCGTTACCTAGGACGTCTCTTAATTTGAGGCAAATCACATAAAAGAAACTACAGACTTTTCAGGATGCATGCTGCTGTCATTCTTGCTTGTTTTTGTGTGAATAGCTGAGTCATGCATGACCTTAGAATTTTATGGATGATTCCATGACCTCGCAGCACCTGCTGCCTGGAACGTTTTCGCTGCCGTTACACATCTGAAGCGGTCCCAGTGGGAAAGGAGCTCGCGGGTAAAATGCGTCTATTACGTGACACGCTGCTCACGCAACCAATAGAAAGGCTGGGTAAGAATAGGTACATTTAGGTTTTGTGACTAAATAAAATGTGTTCAAGAAAGTTTATATGATCTGAAATCTGGAGACGCACAACGCCATGATGCAGAGATGCAAGGGCTCTGCAGCAGGCCTGAAGATGACCCTAATTATTTAACTGTCCGTCGAAAGCGACGGAGACCACAAACGTGTGACTTTCTTAAATTTCGTAAACAGCATTGCCATTCCCCCCTTGAAAAAAATATAAAGAATGCCAAAGACATCTAGCGACAGACATGGAGCTAATTGAAGAATGTCTCACGGAAGAAGCTCTGACTTGAACGTTTATTCACCGCAACTTAAGACGAGCTGCAAAGACGAGCTTCAGACCTTTTATTAGTGGACAGAAGTGACAGGAAACGTGAGTTGAGAGGTGGTGATTGCATGAAGAAGTGGAGGAGAATAATCCACGTTAAAAAAGTCTGAAATACACAATCAATCAATACATTGTCATGGACCAGAGATGGTACTGCAATTGTGGCAGGATACCCCCCAAAACACTACGCCCTCTGTTGTCCTGGCGGGGAACTGCTATGCAAAAGCCCCCAGGCGAGAAGCCTGAAAGGAAAACGTCTCCATCAATGCGTGTGCGCGAGTCCGCATTCGAGCTGACGGAGACGTTTAAACCAGGCTTAAAGGGACTTTACGGAGTTTTGAATTTTTATGCTCGCGATTGCCCCCTCAGGCCAAAAGCGTAATGGCAGCTTCTATAGTAGGCACGTGTACACTCCTTAACGAAAATAACAGCTGAGACAGTCCCTTGTGTGTGTGTGGCCCGGAGGACAGAGGACAGGAGAACGCACAGCTAATTAATCAAATAATTTGGTTCTGTACTTTTCTCTTCAGCACAGCCGACGAAGGTTTATGATGGGTCAGTCCCTGCATGCTCAGATCATTCCCTTCCCTTGCTTGAAAAATTGTTCCAAAATGAAAGTTGAACCCACATCTTTTTTATCTGTGAATTAAATGCCGTTCGGCGAATCTCAAATAAAAATTTGGGCATCTTACTGTAAAAAAATATATACAATTAATGTAAAAAAGAAACTATATAAACTACATTGACATCCAGAATCGAACCCGGGTCTTCTGCACGTAAGTCCGACAATTTACTAGGCGAGCTACTGCGCCAGTGACGTGCTTTGTATCTGTAACATTTATATCCTTGATGACAGCTGAAACAACGTTCAAAGAATGGTTCGGAGGGCTATGCCTGAGCGTGAACGCGCAACGAAGCAGCCTGCTCGACCCGAGCATCTCTCTTTTTCTGTGATTTTACAGAAAAACAGGCAATCACAGTAAAAATGCCAGGGCTCATTCTACAGGACCAGGGCATTGCAGGAGAATGTATGAAGAAGAAATTTATTATTTCTATACATGTTCTGGCTGTCAAACTTCCATAATGCCCCTCTTAAGTTTGATATTTATTTAAGGCTTGAACAACCCAGAATAAGGATCTCTTGTTTGGTTACCCACTGAAGAAGAAGAAAATATCATTTCTATAGCGCCTCTCAAGATAAAAATCACGAGGCGCTTCACAAAAACAAAAAATGTAAAAATATTAAAAAGAATTTAGAATATGGTTAAAAATATATTTAAAATGAGCAAAAAAACTGACAATTGTCATTAAAAATGTAAAGAAAGAGAGAGTGAACAGGAAAGAGGGAAATCAGTGGATCCTGAGGAAGGTGGAATAGGGGGAGCAGAACAAGGAGGGGGTAATGAAGGTCACACAAAAGCCAGCTTGAACAGGTGGGTCTTCAGCTGCTTTTTAAAGGAGACCACTTAGTCCACTGATCTCAGGCTGAGGGGAGAGAGCTCCAGAGTCTGGGGGCCACAGCAGCAAATGATCCGTCACCTTTGGTCTTTAGCCTGGTGCTGTACAACCAGTAGACTTTGATCACTGGACCTCAGGGACCTGCTGGGGGTGTAGGGACTAAGAAGATCACCAATGTAAAATGGTGCTTGTCCATGTAAAGCCCTATAGACCAGAACCAGGATCTTGAAATGAACCCTGAAGGTGACTGGCAGCCAGTGAAGCTGGAGGAGAAGCGGGGTGATGTGGGTGTGTTTGGAGGACTTGGTCAGAAGCCGAGCACAGGCATTCTGAACCACCTGTAGACGGTTCAGGGAGGTGTTGCTCAGACACGTGAAAAGAGAGTTACAGTAGTCTAAGCGTGAGGAGATGATGGTGTGGATAACTGTCTCAAGTTCAGAGCGGGACAGAATGGGACTCAGCTTAGCAATGTTCCTGAGATGGAAGAAGGAAGAGTGAACAAGAGAACTGACATGAGAATCCAGGGTGAGAGCTGGGTCAAAGGTCACGTCAAGATTCCTGACAGAAGGTTTGGTGTGAGAAGCAAACTGACCAAGAGAGTCTCTGACTTTGGGAACCAGCTTGTCAGGGGCACAGATGAGGATCTTCAGCTGAAGAAAGCTCCCAGCCATCCAGGTTCTGATAGAGTCTAAGCAGGTGTGTAACAGCTGCAGCTTAGACATGAGGACAATGAGTGGTGAAAAATCACCACTCATTGTCCTGGTTTGTGTCGTTTTATTCCAAAGCAAAGGAAAAGGTGGTAGAGGTGGGCTCAGCTGAATTTCCATAAACAGATTCAAAGTTGACAAGGCTTTGAAGCTGCCTAAGACGCACGTCTGCATGAGATTCCCCTGAATATCAAAGAGATTAGGCTTCTCTGGCAAGCGGCGCACTTAAAGTTACAAATCCTGAAAATAAATTTTAAACAGGCAGGTTGCTGTGGATCGGCTGACAAACGACAAGAAAGATGAAGACATCCTGAAACTCCATTCCACCGTGCATTATGTAATGTCATGTAAATGCTGTCTCTTCTGCTCCCTTGCAGCCAGTTACAAATGCTCCAGTTCTTGGACTCATTGCTGGCGTTCCTCCCTGCGTCCTGTTTCATCCAACCTGTCAAACACGCAAAAAGTCAGAGCGCAGCCCAGGTGTTTGCCTTGGTTCTGGAAGACGAAGTGCTGTCCCTCAGGGAGTGCGTGTCGTTGCTGCTGTGTGGAGAAGAGGCGGGAAACGAGGAGCACTGCGAGGAAACCCCTGATCCAGGTTGTGTGGAGGGGCTACAGAGGTCTAGAGAGGGGTGGCAACAGGCCGTGGAGAGGAGCAGGAGGAGGCTGAGCCCTCTGGTGGATGTTGGGATGTACCGGGAGGTGATCCGAAGCATTTCTGACATGCAGATGGATGGGGACTTGGCAGGGCTTATTTACACTCAGAGGACTTAACTCGGCTTATAAGCTACAGACGTGATTATTGTTGGAAGTCCTGTTGTCATCTCTGCCTGTGCTACAAAGCGTCTTAATAATAAATTAAATAATCTCTGTTCATGTGGTTTAATCTGCACCGAGATCCTGCCCTCTCTGCTGGATTATACTCAGTTTATTTCAGTGTGTTCCCCATGCTCTCTGCCTTTTAGCTTTGCCAAAAGTTCGTTTCTTGTCCACTGAGTCACCTCCTGGGATTCTCCGCACTAATCCAACATTGCTGCATTGTCCCTTTTGACCCTATCGGTTTATAAGGAACTCTAATGTCTCTTGCTGCTTCTGCAGGAAACAAAAACTAAAGTAAGAGCAGATTCTTACAGCGTGAAGCTTTATACGTATGCTCTTTGGTTGTTGTTGCCTTAAAAGTTTTCGGTGGTTCTTTCTCTCACGTTCAAGGTGTCCTCTCAACTGATTTGAAGAAAACTACAAGAAGCCTTTGATTTTGTTTGATTTGGAACATCTGTGTGTAGTCTGAGGGGAGAAACACTTCCTCTACCCTTTTATTCCCCTGCTTCCGTGCTACAACTTCCTATATTTTCACAGTTGCAAGACTCCTGAATCTTGTAGGTTGATGCTCGGAAACGAAACTAAAATCTGCTTCTGTCCAGATAAGTTCTGTTTCCATCCTCAGCTGCTAAGTAAATTAACTCATTTTCTTTAGACACACTGATTAACAAATGGTCAGTGTCTTCTGCTTTAACTCCACGCATGTTGGACAGTAAAGAAGAATTTTGTATTGTGTCTAATAAAACGGCCAGAGGGTAAAACGGATCACAGGTGAGAAGGAAAATTCAATCGTACCGGTGTTACCGACTGCTGTTGGAGTAAAATACACAGTCTGGCATCTCATCAATATCTGTTGACTATTCAGTCTGAGGGGTGAAAGATTACTGCAGGGTTTATAACCTCAAAAGTGCAATAAAGGAAAAAAAATCTTGCTCTTCATCTGGTTTTTAATTCAAAATTTTCTGCAAAATTATATTTAAGATAAAATTAATCCTGTCATGTTTATTTTCTTGGAAGTTGAGGAAGTTAAAGCAAAATCAAAATAATTGAAAATATCCATTCATTGAAAGTGTCTAATAAACAAAACTAACATTTTATTTTTAGTTATAATTTTAGAATATGCATTAAATATGTATATTTTTCTAAGCCATCTTCCCAAATAACCCAGCTTTACAGGTTAATCTAAAAAATGTGAATATTTGTTGATGTTAGAATATATTTATTTGTTATAAATGTGATGATTATAGCTTACAGCTTTTGAAAACCTCAGTTCAAACACTGACAGTTAAATTAAGGTGAAAATGTTCAATATTCCAAACTCAAAGCATCGCACTCTAATCAGCTGATGAATCCAAACAGCTGAGTCTTTAAATAGTCTCAGTTTATTACTAAAACCTATGACTTATGCACCATGTTCAACTATTTTTGAGTTTCATCATTAATTTCTGCAGGATTGACAAGCTAATGGCTAGTGTGAATGAAGCCAAGATCAAAGTTTGCTCAAGTCTCCCCAAAATAATTAAAGCAACTGTTTTGGAAGAAATGTTATGTAATGGTTGGCAGAATTAAACACAGGTGCACCAAAAGATGATGGTGACACAGATAAAGATCATTTAACATTTTAGAGACAAATGCATTCTTAAGATGGTAGCAAAAAAGCTCCATGTAATCTAGTGATGGGTATTCTGGCTCTTTTTAGAGAGCCGGTTCTTTTGGCTCAGCTCACCAAAAAGAGCCGGCTCTTTCGGCTCCCAAGTGGCTCCTCAGATTTTCTGTTGCGTAGAGTACATTTATAACCAAAATCATGCAAAACTATATGTGAAATGATTTACTAATGTAAAAAATGCAATATATCAAATAGTTATCATTTCTATGGATTTAATAACTGAACACTTTAAGAAAACTCCACTTTCTGACTGCTGGCGCTCATTTTCTCACCGTCTTCGTTGCACTCTCCTCTCTCTCGCTCGCCTTTTTCCTCCTCCTCATTCCCTCTCATCTCCCTCCACCCGCATGTGCTCTGCTGTGTGTGTCTGAGTCGGATCCTCCCTCTTCCCCGCCCCTACTGCTCTGTGTGTGGACAGTCTGGACACACAGTAACACATGTTGACCAATCGCCTGTAGCTTTCACCAAAGCAAGAGGGGAGGGAGGAGGGGACGGCTCCCAATGACGAGCCGGCTCACGTCGTTCACTTCAAAGAGCCGGCTCTTAGAGCCGCTTCGATCGCGACCAACACATCACTAATGTAATCAGTGTCAATCCCGTCAGTGACAGCTATATTGATCAGACAGTAAATACAACTTTAACTCAAAAGCACTTGAAACATTCCAATAAAGCAGTTATGATTACTATATTTGTATTTTTCTAACTGGTGCGAATGTCCATAAGTGAAGAAGAAAATCTTTTATATAGCACCTCTCAAGATAAAAATCACGATGTGCTTCACAAAAATAAATATATATATATGTATAAAAAATTTCAAAAATGATTACAAATATGTTTAAAAGGAAAAAAGAAAAAATGTAAGGAAAGGCAGAGTAAAAGGAATAAGAAAGGAAAATCAATGGATCCCGGGAAAAGCGGAATAAGGAGAGGGTGAGGATGAAGGTCACACCAAAGCCTGAACAGGTGAGTCTTCAGCTGCTTTTTAAAGGAGACCACTGAGTCCACTGATCTCAGGCTCAGGGGGAGAGAGTTCAAGAGTCTGGGGGCCACGGCAGCAGATGATCTGTCACCTTTGGTCTTTAGCCTGGTGCGCTGCACCATCAGTAGGCTTTGATCACTGGACCTCAGGGACCTGCTGGGGCTGTAAGGATGGTGAAGATCACCAATGTGTGCTTGTCCATTTAAGGTCCTAAAGACCAGAACCAGGATCTTGAAATGACCCCTGAAAGTGTGTCTGACACAGAATAATAACTAGTTTAAATGTTGCAACAGCTTAATTTAAAACAGTTTTTCATATCTAATAGAGAAAAATATTTATTACATTTGACAAAATTGAAATATATCTAATAAAGCTCTCAGTCTATTTATTGCACACTGGATCGAGCTGCAACCCTGCCTTTAATACTGTGTGCTTATCGACCGTGGTCATGTGCTCTCTACTGGTTTAAATTTGAACTCGACTGGTCAGCCAAAGAAATTGGAAAGCTATTGATTAAATCTACAACATGACGCTACAGCGGTGAATTGTCCTCTATGTGCAGACAGCCCTCATTAAATGCTCCAGAATGGAAGGCAAACCCGTTTAAAAACGATTAAATTGTTATTTATATTCCAAATTTAAATAATTCTCCTTGAATCTTAGGTTTTGATCAAATTGCTTGTTTTATTTTGGGGTTGTATGAAGAGAAATGTTAGGACTTCAACATGTAGCCTAATGTTCTGCCTGCCAGGGTCAGAACACAGTACAGGAGCCACATCCTTTAAACGATGATTGTATTAGCTGTGCAGTCGCCATGGGCGTGTCTGAACCCACACTGTCAGATGCTGCACCCGTTTTCTTGTTCTTGACTCGTAAAGCAGAAAACAAACAGACAACTTTTTTCAACAACATGGCTCAGAAACGTAAAACGAGCAGCATGCATGGACTACAGGTGTGTTCAGGTACAAACGTCAACGTTAGCAAAAACAACAGTTTTTAACCTCATTAAGTTTCTGCTTCTCACTCGCAGTGGTTCTGTCAACTGTTGTGCTGTTGCTATGGCAACCCACATTTCATGCTTTAGAATATTATAAATACAATAATACATTCTTTTGTGACAAGTTGTGTTTCCTTTAAATGAGCTTACAGGGTGCAAATATTGTCTGTTATGAAAGGCTTGATTCCATTCAAGTTGCCTCGTTGCTGCAAATTGAGTTCAAGTGAGTCCTGGTTCCTAAACTGAGTGACTAAAGCAACAATTAATAAGCCAAAGACAGTTTGTGCATTCGTCTCTGAACAAAGAGCTGTGTTGTCAGTTCTGTTTGTCTACAGGAAAATACACGAACAGGTGGCAAGTTAAAGAAAATACAGAAAAAGGAGTATTTTCATGATCTGATGGAGCCCAAACCAAGCCAAAAATAGTTCGGACCAATGGTAGACCTTCTGAATTACAATGCAGTGTTGCTAGACTGATGAGCAGAGCAACATGTTTTTGCACAAAGGTTGGTCTAGATTTCTGGGCTTTAGGAGACCACAAAGTAGCATAAATTATGACGTTATGGGGGCCTTTCTGCCAAAGTTTTCATCGTTGGAAGTTTAGAAACTAATTTAAAACTGCCCCAATGCTACTTATTTTCTTTTCCTTCCATTCTGCTTCAACAGAAACTTTTCTAATTATATAAATGCTGGTTGTTTGTTGGCGTCTGCCAATGACACTTCCTACTGATAATGCTAGTCAATCACAAGTCCCACCCCGCAACTCTACCGGGCCTTTTCTGAGTACATAACCCAATGCAGGTACTTGGTTGGTTCCCGAAATTGCATGGAAAATGGTCCTTTCAGACTCACCAGGTGGAACAGAGACATGCGCATGCAATGAAGATCCAGTAAAATTACCTGGAAGTTCCGATAGTGGAAACGGGCATGAAGGGACAATGTGTCTGTGGAAAAAGTATAAAAATATGCAAAGGTGTGACCAAGTCACTGCTTTGCAAGTCACAAGTAAGTCACAAGTCTTTCCAGTCAAGTCTCGAGTCAAGTCAAAGACAACCAAGTCCAAGTCTTTAACTTTGAGTTTTCAAGTCATCTGTCCAGCTTCAATTTAATGACAATGATAATTAATATATTCCAGAAATAAAGGTTCGTAAAGCTTAATTTATTTGCACAAACAAGCAGGAAGTGCAACTGAAACTGATTCTAAACAAAGTGCTGCTGCATTTAGCCGTACAAGATCAAACCCAGAACCAAGAATGATTTATGATTTTTGTCCATGTCGGGCCACTTTTGTGCTAAAATATCAAATATGCTCAAGTCATCATCAAGTCAACAGATGCAAGTCGATTCAAGTCGCAAGTCATTGGCGTTCAAGTCCAAATCGTTGTAAGTCTTTATAGATTTGATCAAGTCAAGTCAGAAGTCATTAAAATAATGAAGTCATGTGACTCGAGTCCAAACCTCTTGAAATACGACTGGAAACCAGGATCCATTAGTATGTTGTGTATAAGTGTGAGATCAAAATAAAAGCAGCTTTTCCTTAGATGGCTGTGAAGGTCAGTGCATGAAGTGATCGTGCTGCTAGTAAAAGCAGCACATCGACAGATACACTGAGTTGGAAATTATAGCAAGTCTGTAGAACATTAACCTCTAATTACAGAGTTCAGTTGTGTGAAATGACAGGTACATAGTCTCACAGTCAAATGAATCAAACAGGTCAGTACAGCAGTACAGGTCTGAACTGTGGATAGCTTTTAAATCCGGCGTTTCTGTGCTTCTGCATTGCTGCTACCCTCCCAAAGATTAAGGATGTCCGAAATTATCGGTCTACCATTAATATCGGACAATATCGGCATTCAAATTCATTATCATAAAATATCGGTTTCAGTTTTTTAATTAAACAAATTTTACATAACACACACATATAACATATCTCTTCAGCTACATCTCCGTCTCTAAATATCAAAATATGACAGATCTGATTTAGAGATTTGGCGATGTTTTAGTTGATTTTGCACAGTTTGTGAAGTGAATTTGATACGACTAAAACCAAAACAAGAATCTTCACCCAAGGCTTGCTTTTCTTATCTGAACACAAATGTTTTCTCATCATTGCAATTTACAGAAAAAGAAAAAAAAATACATTACCAACTAATAAACACATCTTAGTGTCACACTTACCCCTACTTCACATTGGAAGCATCAGCCGAGTGGAACAGCAGTTTACTTTGCTGCATGTCAGGTATGAAATCACATTGCTGCCAAAGTCTTTTATTTTGAAAATTACTGGGGGTTTACACTGAAACTGTCTGTAGTTTCTGTCTTGCCCTATGTTAACCGCGAAAATTGTTGTGTTCCAGAAGTGGTTTGCAGCAAAATAGAACCCGATCCTATCTTTAGTGGCGTTCTGCTTCTGGAACATGCCTGAAAAATTCGGAGTTGCGGCTGGTTTGAATCGCCCCTATAGAATATAATGGAATCTAATTTGAAGCAGCAAAGTTCCGCTGTCGTTCCGCGCCGCTGATGCTTCCAGTGGGAAGTTAGGGTTTAGGGAGAATGAGATTCAACTGCTTTTGGAGACTAAATATGACGATTTTCATATCACTAACTTAAACTGAAGTAGTTTTCATTTAGTACATAAAATGTTTAAAGTGTAATCATGCATGAAAGGAAAAATGGGACATTAGTAACCTAAAACATCTTAGTTTTTCTTTTTTTATGAGAGGGGGCACAGCATATATCGGTTTATACCGATATCGTAAATTAAGTCGACAACATCGATATATCTGTGAATTATCCAACATTGAGCTAATAATAAGTTACATTTGTGCTCAGTTACAGCATCCAGGTTCCATGAACATATTGTACGAATAAAAAGGATCATTTTGAGGGACTGCCTCCCATTTTCATCAAATCTCTGTTTCTCATTCAGCTAGTAGGCAAACAGCGAGTGACAGAATATTTGAACTACAGTGTGAAGTCCATTATCATCCCACATTCTTGCTGGAATCCCGCTGTCAGCTCATATCTGTGTCACCCCAGGCCACCCGGTGATCCACAGCTCGTGTCATCGCCCTGACGCATCGGCTCAGAGAGGAGAAGAGACACTGTTTGTCATTTCACTTGATCTGATTTGAAACTGAACACATGAAAATGGAAGTTTTGTGCTTTTTAATGATCAAAAAGCATCAGTTTCCTCACTTCGCGGCCACATAATCACATGACTGTGTTGAAAATAAAAAGATAAGGGAGAACAAATATGGTGCACAGTCAGTTTTATTGTTATAATAATCTTCACTACAGTGTATCGGGAGTGCAATTGCCATTAGCTGCTTCGTACTACGAATGTTCTGATCCGTCCTCCGGTTACTCAAACACACAAATTGAAGGAAAACAGAGGAGGCTGAAAAAATTCACACAAAGATATAATTTTATTAACATAACCCGCCACTCACTACAATGAATATTATATTTGACTAAATCTACAAAACATATTCTCTAACTCTGAACTCCTACTTAATATCTGGGTTATAAATGAATAAATAAATCCATGTGACAAATGACAACACTGATAAATGTGGGCTCACTGATACGTTTGTTCAGAAAGACAGCCTGTGATGTTCCATAATTTGCTACAAAATCAAAGGAAATTTTATTTTTAAAAAGACACATGACAAAAGGGCTTATGACTTTACGTGACATCAGTTATCCGTGAAAGTCATAGAGTGAAAAGGAAACAACAGCGAGAAATACCTTTGGATGTCTGGCCGCAGGTAGAAAAGCTCAAAGCGTGCATTCAGCTGCGATAGACCACTCAACAAGAAAAGACGGGTAAAAAAAACAAACGTATAGGACCGTAGCACTTCATCTTAACGGGAACTTTGATATCTAAGGCCTCAGGTATTTCTCAAAAATGGAGTCTCCAGTCCCCAAATCCAGATTTCCATCGTGCCTGAGACGTTTGCAGCTGCTTTAGTTTGATGCATGTGTTTGTAAAACTCATATTTTGAATAAAGAGGAAGTGCCTTGACAAGGTTACACTATAAAACAGTCAACATCCTTCATAAGAAATTTTGCATCACAAAAAAAGTCTCAGCTACTTTCACAAAACTCTACGGAATGTTGCTTGTTTCCGTGGTTGCACGGACGCCAAGGCTGATTGGCTCGAGCGTTTTGGTCCGTCTTCTCCAGCCTGTTGTCTGAAATTTTTTTTAAATTATTCCTCAGAAAATATTATGCAGCAGCACAAGAACAAATAAAGCATCTGCTTCTCGAGACTCTTCACATTATCAGAACACGAGTGTCACTAAATGATGTATGAACGTTCTATGTAATCCCTGAAAGAACACCACCATTATCACCACGGTGCCTCTCAATGCACGGCCTCCCAGCATTTCTCAATCTGAGAAACAAAGTGTTGTTTGAGAGCAAAGTCGTTAGTTTTTGTGGATGTCTTCGTGTCGGATGATCTTGTAGGTAACCCAGTAGAAGACGTTGAAGATGAGAAACGCCAAAGGGAAGGCGGCCCTGGACATCGTGTCTATCCTCTTGGCTCGGTCCACAAATTTTTTCCTCACGGAGTCTATGTCCTTTGCAGTCGAAGGCTGGGGGTTCGGAGCAGGAACGGCATTCTTAACGGCCGAGCCGTCCTTCGCCGGCACGCACTGGCTCATGTTGTAACCTGCAAAGTTCAAGCGGCCTTCACGCATTTCATCTTCCTGAGAAACAAATGGAGGGGATGGTTTTAATACTGCAGAAGCTCAGATGTCATGGCCAGAGGTTTGCATTTCCACACCGCAATAATTTTACATGAAAATTAATCACAAGATATGACAAACACTTTTGAATTAATTAAAATTTGGAGGATAGCAAGATGCACTTAAATGGAAAAAAACCCAGCGACAGCTTCAGGGAATGAATCTTCATTTCAACAAACTCTAATGATGATTGTTTCATTAATCTAGTACCTTTAACTTTCCACAGTAATGCTACAAAGCTAAGGGGAGGCTCAAGTACTTCAAAGTAATGATGCACTTACCTACATCTGAACTTTTCTCTTGTTTGGTAAGCCCATTACTCAATTTAAGGGTTTTGAATGCACGAGTCAGCTCTATAGATTTATGTACTGAATAGGCTTCTGAACTGGATAAATGCACCATAAGCACTTTGTTGTTTTTGAATCCGAGTTTGGAAGCTTTAAAGAAGCAACATGTAAGAATTCGACAGAGAAATGATCACAAAACAGTCGAATGTTTCAATCATGTTGGACGGAAGGTTACATCGAACCAGAATTCATTCTCAGCCAGCTGGGGGGTTGTCAGGTTAGAGTAGAAGTGGAAATTTTGGGGTGGTACACCAAATTGTTCCCTGTGGTAACTCTGTCAGTCTGAATCATCCCAGTCTGATTATTACGAGTAGTTTCCACATTAATTCAGACTGAAGTCCCTCAAAAATTTTCACAACCAAACAGCAACCTTGTAAAGACTTTGAAAAGCTACCTTGTGACTCTTCCTTTGTCTTCTCCTTAGGCGGAGAAACTCTTTCTGTTGCCTGGAGACAAAGTTAACCCCGGCATATTCCAGCAGTGCAGCAAAAACAAAGAGCAGACACACAGCCATCCAGATATCAATGGCTTTCACATACGAGACCTGGAAGAAAAAAAAAAACATGTTCTCTGTTAGATTCCCTAGGTGACAGGCCTACCTTACAGTTTAAGTGCTGTATGAATTATTTCACTTGGATTGGAATCATTCTTTTTCAATAACACTTAAATGATTGTTTCCTCTGTTTTTGCACATATTCTGCTGCAAAACTGCTTGTTTTCCGCTTCTCTTCAGCTGATTTCATTAGCTAACTAAATCCTAATTGTTGATACTGCTTGCTAACAGGTGCTTGAGAGCTGCTAGTAACATCAGTGATAACTCGGCATTAAGCAGCAGGGGATAATTACCTTTAATTCCAACCGGCAAGAGATCTGCCGTGTTAGTTTGTACCTTTAGCTCTGGTTATAATCTATTCAGCACGAAGTTTGAAGCTCTTCCTTCTCATCGCTGTGACCTCCATGACAGCTGATTAGCATGTGAAGAAAACAACCCAGCTACATTTGAGAACACTCATCGCATTTTGTTTTTCATGAACTAAATCTCTCAAAGGCTCGTCTTGAAACATTTATCAGTGTGTGCGTGTGTTTCATGTTTTTATGACGTTGCTGAAGCATTTGCTACCGATGAGATTGATTGATGGTTGAGATTGAACTCCACGTGCCTGCAGTACTCTTCATTATGCAGTTAATTCATAACTGACGATAAGCTGCAGCAGCCTGGCACTTGAGTCTGCTGTTAACACATGGTTTAGATGGTGAAAATTACACTGATGGGGTTAAAAAATGCAAAGAAATGTATTATCTGCAAAGATAAATTCAGTGTTTTAAATAATAACAATTTACACGTGTCATTTCAAATATCCACAGTTATATTAAAGAGCAAGTCACTCCAAATCAACATTTTTTTGTTGATAAACTATATAAATGAGTGTCTGATTGTGCTGTAGACACGTGAAGTCAATAATTTGGCACTTTAGTGCATCTTAGTTCAAATTAAAATATTCTGCCTAAAACTGTCAGCGATGCACCGTTGTCAGGCAAAAACTCTGCACTGCATTCGAATTTAAATCTGCCATCGCTATTGGCTAAGAGGTACACTATGATGTTAGCTGGTACATTATGATGTCACAATGTTGTGAGTGTGAGTATTTGTTAGCAGCTCCGCCCTCTCGATCTACTAGGCAACAGCATTTGTTGCATTTTTCAAACAGGAAGTGGGAGTTGAGTAAGAATCTGGTAGGTGGTGACTTGCTCTTTAAGTACTGATCTTTAACTGTAACAAGTCAGCACCTTTATCTGCTCCTGAACGTTTAAAGAGCAAGTCACCCCCTACAAGAAACTTACTTCACTCCCTCTTCATGTTTGAAAAATGCAACAAATGCTGTTGCCTGGCAGACTGAGAGGGCGGAGCCACTAACAAATACACACACACACAGGCTCACAACAGCACTGTGGCATCATAATGTACCAGTTTACATCATAGCATACCTCTTAGCCAATAGCGGTGGCAGATTTAAATTCAAATGCAGTGCAGAGTTTTTACCTGACAACGGCGCAACACTGACAGTTTTAGGCAGAATATTTCAGTTTTAACTAAGATGCACTGAAGTACCAAATTATTGACTACACGTGTCTGCAGCACAATTAGACACACATTTATATAGTTTATCAGCAAAAAAAAGTTGATTTGGGGGTGACTTGCTCTTTAAAGATTTAATTTAAATATCAACATGGTGCAAACAAAGCCATCTGATAGGTCGAGACCAAATGACCTGATTATAAATTTGTATATGCTCTCATTTACATGATTTGTAACCATAATTTTCCACACTTGCTTCATAGTATTTGTTCATCATTCTGCACTGACAACCATTCTACTTTTCTCTGCAATGCTACAGTTTGCCCTCACTTCATGGTAGGTATTATGCATGCATTTGTAAGATAACATTCTCATGCATATGCAAATTACTACTAGTGCAAAGATCTGTGTTGTGTGCAACATGCATTTAGCATGAAATATTTATGATCCTTTGAAGGAAGTAGGTATTTTCATCTGAGAAAAAAAACTGAGGTAAATAAATTATTTTTTGAAGAAAATGGAGCAGGCGTGTCAGGAAACATCAAACTCATCTTTTCTTCCAGTGTGTTACATCTACAATAAATGCTCAATAACATCGAAGCATCATGCTTTTTATAGAACCCAACAGCTTATTTATGAAGCCTCACATCCAGAGGTTAACAAAATAATTATCTTGTTTAAAATCTGAAGCTGAGAAAATACACATGGCAGTGGCAAATAATACAGAAAAGCACATGCCTCATAGAGCGTGCACACGTTTGTTTAAGTACCTAGACTGATGCAGAGTTGGCAATGTTTCTTATGATCGCGTTTGTTTTATGTTCTGCTGGACGTTCTCATTTACAAATTAGAGGCTTCCAGCCGTAATCACAAAAGCAGTGAGAGGGGCTTCAAGGTGCAATGAATTTTCTCTGCCTCTAGGTGGTGCCCTCTGAGGAAAAAAAACTTTGTTGCTGTAGGGACAAAAGGCTGTGCCAAAGCATTACCATCCCCCCTACATAAAAACGTTTGTTATGAAAAGCCATAATGACTACCATATAAAACATTATAAAAATGAATATTATATAAAGGACTGTGCACGTGTTTTAGGCAGGTGTGGAACATGCTGTAAACTAAGAATGCTTTCAGTGTTAGTCATTTATTTTCATCAATTAACAAAAAGAAGTCAACGAACTGAAGAGATATTTAAATCAAATGGGTATTTGGTGATCACCCTTTGCCTCTGAAACAGCATCGACTCTTCTAGCCACACTTGAACACAGTTTTTAAAGGAAACACCAATAGGATGTCAGAGTCATCGATGTTTAAAATGATTATCCAGTCAAATTCACTATCTGGATGGACAAAGACAAGCCGAAATAAAATAGGGGTAATGAGGCTATATTTAAAATGTAAGAAACAGAATGTAAGCTGATGGATAATTACTCCAGTGAAGTATAGATACCCAACATTTCTTCTTTAAAAAGAAAACAAAGATTATTTGACACCTCTGTACCTTTGGAAGAGAAGCTCTGGAGCCAGAGCTCTGCGTTGTCATGGTGAGCACAGTGGTGATGCCCAGTGCTACTCTGGCAGGCGCCGCATCCATATTTATCCAAAACGACACCCATGAGAGGATGACGATGAGGAGGGAGGGAATGTACATCTGGATCAGATAGTAGCCCATCTGGCGTTCCAGGTGGAATTTAACTTCAATACAGGTGAATTTACCTGTTGGACAGCAAGATAAGCAATCAGGTGAGCTAAATATAAATGTTCTTTGTGTGTGTGTGTGTGTGTGTGTGTGTGTGTGTGTGTGTGTGTGTGTGTGTGTGTGTCTCTGTTGTCTTACCAGTGTTGTAGTGTTTAGTGCAGTAGCCCAGTTCCTTCTCCTCCCTCATGATGAACTGAGGCAGGGTGAGTCCATCGGACACCTGCACGGCGCCATTCTCCAGCCACTCAAAGATCAGGTCGTTCATGGTGTAGCCAACTACACGCACAGAAGACAGTGGCTCTTAAATATTCACTGCATAAAGATTAGCAACACGTCTGAGAAAATCTGCACTCACAGCTTTCCAGCTGCATCGTGCAAGTTTGGACGTCCATTGGAAAGTTTTTCAGATCCATCGGACACGACAGGATGAGAGTCAACCTGCCAGGAAAACAAAGTCACACTCATGAGTCACCTGGTTTGGAGCTAGACTGATTCACTGAACTCTGAACGAGCACAGCAGATAGATTACAAGTAGTTAACTTAAAAAAATGAAATCACAGTTAAAATCTTTTTTTTATTTTTATTGGACATGTTTTTGCCGTGGTGTCAGAGCCTGCAGCCCATCGTGTAGGATTCCCTTCAGCAGGTTCCCATCACACTTTCATTACTCCAGCTTATTGTCTCAGCGATGCATTGTGGTTGGCAGTCTGCCCGCTTTGTGATTTCGCCCGTGAGTGGAGAGTGTGGTTAGCCACCTTTCATTTCTCTCCCTCTGCCTCCACACCTGTGCTCCACTCAGCTCTGAGCGGCTCTCCAAATGGACTCAAAATGGATCTGAGTTGGATCGCATCGTGGCATCAAAAACACTGTGTGTATTGAAATGGGAATCGTGTACCTGGACTTTGGTTAAGTTTAAAAGGTTGTTTTATTCCTAAAGGTGCACATTTCTTCATTTTCCCTACAAAGAGATGAACATGGGCATACACTCCTCTTTCTTTGCTTTTGGGAGTATCTTTGTTTAAGATCTCCAACCAAAGCCCTTAAGATTAGCTTTTCAATCAGCGTTCCTTCATGTAAAAAAGGAAACGTCTGTATTGAGCTTGTGAATCGACTGAAGTTTGGCATATAACTCTGTTTCAAAGGAGAGATCATAACAGATAAAATCAATTTAAAATGGTATGCTTTAGATTGGCCGTCTTTGAAGTTCGAGAGGAAATGTAAGAGAAGCAATAAGCGTTCAGGAGGAAGAGTGAAGCAGAGCTTTTGGTTTTAATGCTGCAATCTGCAGATGCTCTCTAACTCGGCTATCAATTATTCACTTTTTCAGAACATCCGAGGTGAAAAATGCACAATTATGAAAAAAATAACTCTACATATACCGTATGTTTTCTTTCTAATGCTTTTTAAAATATGACGTTATCAAACATTCAGAGCTTCACCTGATGCTGTAGAGGACAGTTCCATCCTTGAAGATACGCAGCAGCTTGTTGTCTGTGGTGACATCATGGAAGTTGGCGCCCTTCTCGTTGGCAAAGAAGAGATCAGGCTTCCATATGGAGTCCAGCATAGACGGGTCCAGGTCAAGAGAGGAATCTGGGTATTTACTGTACGCCAGCCGGGGGTCATTCCACTTCTGTCGCAGGAAGATGTTTACCCTGTAATCCTGAGGAGACCACAGGCAGCTTTGCATATTTTGCAACGCGGTGATTAGAGTTCTGACACTGCATGCTGACGACAACTAACCACGCAGGCTGCATTACTCAACCCTTTTTATGAGGTAAATAAGAAATAATAACATGGGCAAATCCAAATAAGTTTTCAAATATCTGATAAATGCTTAAATTACTGATAAAACTAGGTTCAATTCATAGGTAACATTTAAAAGCACATTTTAACAAAATAAACACGACTGAGTTCTTTTAACTTGCACATTAAGCTGCATTTTTTTTCTCATCACAGGGATTCAAAACATTTTAGTTCCACAACAGAGAAAAGCAAAAAAGGATGATGAGTGAAAATGTTGTGTGAAACCATTCATCTAAGCGTCTTAATTATCATCCGTGTGCTACTTTGATTAAATATTGTTCCAAGCTGCGTGTGCAAGGCCGACCTTTACGTACGCGTCGTTCTTTCCTGTCTTTTACAGAAAGTAAATAAATGATGGATTAGTCGCGCCTGATGAGGGTAGCTCTGATTTTACAGTTAGCAACATGAACTGTCAGAGAGCTGCGTCACTCACAGTAATTGATATGTCATGATGATGAACAGCCTTTGTGTTGTTTGACATTTCATCAGCATGTTGGAGGTTTCCAAGTATTTGCATGCCTGTCTGGAACTGTGTAATTCCCTGGCAGTCTCGCGTCTTCCAGCTCTAGCGCAAATGAACATTTTCCATTTATTATCTAAGTTGTTATTATCGCTCATTAGGAATCCTTTGATCGTGATTAGTTTTGATGCAGCATCGTAGGTTTCGTGTTTGACAGCCTCTCAGATTGCATATTGTACATCAGCTTGCTTGTTGCCCCCCCATTTTGTCTCTTAATTGTTGCATTTAAAGAGCAAGTCACTCAAAATCAACAGTTTTTTTTTTGCTGATAAACTGTAAAAATTAGTGTTTAAGAGCGTTGTAGACATGTATAGTTTTTAGTACTTTTGTGTACGACAATCACATCTTAATTTAAATTGTACACTAACGAAACTTGAAGGATGCTGTCTGTTAAACCCTACAGTGTGGTTTGGGTAGTCTTTCCTCTCGTTTTTATTACGTTTGTAATCTTGCGGGTACTTTATTTTTACCATGTGAGAAAGTCTAATTAATTCATAAACAAATAAATACATTTCAAACTGGAAATGTGGGTGGAGTAAGACTCTGGTGCGGGGGTGACTTACTCTTTAAACAAAACTGCTTATTTTGAATTTGCTGGACGATTTATAAAATTTGAGCAATCATCTGTGCAAGATAACTTGCAATATACGATTAATTTAATCGCCTACTTTTTGATGGATTAAAGAAAGCATGATTGTTGCAAAAAAATAAAAAAATCATATTTGGTTGGTTAAAAACTTGAACTCCAAACAGGACTGAGTGCTTTAAAGTACCAAAGCACAACACTCCACTCACCATTGTAGTTTCTGCTATAGAACCAAAGCTGTTGATAAATATGTTGCAGGTAACATTAACTGGTGGACCTGCAGGTTGAGGGATAGATAACACATTGACACATCTTAAAGGGAAAACAGCAATCAAAGTAGCAGAGAAACTCACCATCGTTGTCTCTGTGACAGAGCCAAAACTGTTGATAAAAATATTGCATGTAACGTTTACGGGGGGACCTGTGAAATGGAATGACAATGACATGACAGGGAAATAAAAAAAAGCCTTAAATCATATGTTTGAGCAAGGATGATAAAATCTGAGAAGGGAGATGCCTGGCTCCTGCTTCGCTGTGTATTCAAGCATGCTTTAGCACAACAAGCAGTGCATATTTGATTCTTTTTTACATGGTGACATGTTGCATGTAAAATTATGTTTGCTGTTTGGTTCAAAACTTTGAAAAAAGCAATTAAAACCCAACTTAACATCATGTTTATTATGAATGAGCTTAATGGCGTCTGGGAACGATGTTTCATGTAATAATGGAAGTAATCATTCAGGGTCGACTTGTTGTTTGCTCACTGAATAGAGGGCACATGCACACAGATTCATCAGCATGCAGACACACAAAAGAGCGTGTTAGCTGAAAAGTTAAATATTTGATCAGCAGATTCTTCACAACACAGAAAATAGCCGCTCGGGTATTTAGTGATTTCAGTTCACGGCTCAGATCAAACAATGTTTGACTTCATTAAAGCAGCAATCCGGAGTTTTACCATTTTCAAGAATGATGTATGATTTTTTTTTAGATATTTGTAAGACTGATTTATAAGCCCAATTAATATGTCCGTCTGTGTGAGTGCAGAGGCACTCAACGTCTATGCTTCGACTCAAGGGCTCTGCACAGGGTGACAGAGACATCCCCACATTTATAACTACCTGTCGAAAAGAGTAAAGTTCACAAGCCTGTGATTGGTCAGGACGCCACTTCCTTTAAATTTTCCCACAGCACTGCCATTCCCTTCAAAAAAGCTATCTAGTGGTAGACACGGAGCAGAACTTTTTATTTGCGGACGGAAATGACGGAAAACGTGGGTTTGGAGGTGGCGACTGCATGAAGAGCTGTCCTGTCCCGGCTGGACTACTGCAATGCTCTGTCTGCTGGTCTGGCCCAGTGCACGGTTGCACGGCTCCAGTTTGCGCAGAACTCTGTGGCTAGGTTCCTGACAGGTACTAGGTGTCGAGAGCACATTACCCCAGTGCTGGATGCTCTGCACTGGCTTCCGGTGCAATATCGAGCTAAGTTTAAAATCTTAACTCTCGTTTATAAGGCCCTCCAGGGCAGTGCCCCCTCGTACATTACTGCACTTTTGCAGAGGTATGCTCCATCTCGGTCTCTTCGCTCAGCCGAGCAGGAACTTCTGGTGGTCTCCCGGTCTAAATATCGATCGAGGGGTTGTCGTGCTTTGTCTGTTTTGGCTCCAACTCTGTGGAACGAATTGCCACTGAGCATTAGGCAGGCACCATCCCTTTAAGTCTTTAAGTCTCGTTTAAAGACTCATTTTTGTTTGATTGCGTTTTAGCGCTAGGGTTCTTTGAATTGCCCTGACATTATGGTTTTAAGTCTTCTTCTTTTTAACCCAGATGCTTGATTTTATTCTGTCCACCATTTGTTTTTGATCGATTTGTCTTATTCTGTTATCTCTCTTTATTTGTAATATTGTTTGCTTGATATTTTATGGTTTTATGTTTTTATCTTGCTTTTATGCCCATGTACTGGGAATGTTTTTCTTATGATGATGCTGTTCAGCACCTTGAGCTTCCGATAACGTTGTGGAAGGTGCTCTACAAATAAAATTTGATTGATTGAAGAGGTGAAGAAAAAGGAGGGGAAAAAAGTGTTTGTGTTAAAATTCTCTGACCCCAATCCACACTTGAGGCATCAGCGGCGCGGAGCAGTAGCGGAATGATTTACTCGCTCAATCTGTGGCGCGTCAATCCACACCGGGTGAGCGTCTCAGACATGGAGCGGCTTCTCTGCCGTCCTCCTCGCTGAACTCACGAGATCACAAAATCCCTCAAGACTTCAGAGGTCACTGATTGTTTATGCCAAACATAAACATAAAGGCAAATAAGCCTTTAGCTCACATTCATTGACATAATCCACATAGATAGGAAATCCCATCTCTGCAATAGTCTTTTATTTTGAAAATTACCAGACATTTTACATGTTCGATTTCCTGTCTAGCCCTATGCTAATGAAAATTGATCATTACAGAAGTGAGTCAGTGTGTTCTGGGAAGCAGCTGAAATGTTCTGCGCCATGGCCAAATCGGATAAACCCTCAGACTATAAAGGATTCTATTTGAAGCAGAGACGTTCCTGTTGTGGTCGGCAGTTGTATCAGAAAGTATCATGAGTAGGCCAAAAATCCTTTCACAAGTTCATCACATGTATTAGTTTCATGCATCCATCTTGGCTCTCTCACTTCTTCTCTATCGTACCTAAGCTTTCTTCTCCTGGCTGCCCCCTAGTGGTAGACACAACAGTTCTGCTAATGTTCCAACACCGCTGACGCCTTCAGTGTGGAATGGGGGTAAGATACATAAACACAATAGTGAATACACTATTTTGGACAGGAGACATTACTGCAATGATGACAGGATACCCCCAGAAAAGCATTGTGCCCTCTGTTGTTGTGGTAGGGAATTGCTATGCATCACTCCCCAAGCATCCAAAGAGAAAACGCGTGCGCACGAGTCCGCACCTGAGCTGGTGGAGACAGTACAAATTAGGCTTTACCCTGTACTGTGATATAATGTAGGCAATATGCCTTTTTGTTTTGCTAAACCTGCCCCCATGCTCGATGAAACTTGAACTGAGCTCCATTCAGCGCTAGTTAAAAGCATTTGACATCCATTCACTTACAGATGGCAATCATAGAATGTGTGTAAGAGTTTGTGGAAGTACCTAGAGTGATGCACAGTTGTTTTGTATAGACAAGTATAAGTCCTAAAATATATAAACAGCACAACATGAGGTGTGCTTTAGCTCTGTTGGCTGGCTAGAGGTGCACGCTTGTGAACGAGAGGCTTCACTTCAGGCCGTAATCACAAAAGTAGGGAGAGGCTTAAGGTGCAGTTCATTCTTCCCACCTCTAGATGGTGTCTTTGACAAAAAAACTCCAGATTTCTGCTTTAAGCCAAATATCTTAAAGCAATGGTTTAAGTCTTTTGAAATGAGCTTTGGTGAAAGGTTCATGCACAACATTATGTTATCTGATGAGTTAAGTTTGAGCTGATCAGGATCGCCAACACCATATGGATCTCTGCAAAAGTTTATTTGAACCCTTTACAATCATACATGTAGACATAAATGACTATTTACAGATGATTTATTGGTTATTTGTAAAATCACATAGCAATAGCTACACCCCCGTGCAGAATTAGCCACTGCCTGCAGAAAATATCAACCGTTAAATGCCTTGAATTACTAAATTTCAATTGAATTTCCATGCCATTTTTGAGATCAAAAATGTTTTAAAATGGCATGAATCCATGTTGGTTCTGTCTCTATTGGCTGCCAGCTTTGTCTGGTCATAACTGAGCTCTATTTCTCCAAACGTAGGTCAATCGTATTTGCCTGTAAGATGTGCTTTATACAAAAACCTTCTACAGAACCCAGCTTGAAAATATTAGATTTTTTCTTGCAATAAAATATTTCTCTGAGCATTTTTGCACAAGTTTGGAATGAAAAAGTTAATTTATTATGTTTGGAAATGAATTCCAGATGATCCGACAGTGAAATGCCACGTCTCAGGTGTCACGTTTGCATTTCCTCCACAACACAGTGAGTAAAAGGCGTCCAGCCAGTGGGTGTACTTCTGTTTCTGCAGAAAAACTCTCATGCATTCAGAGTCACAGCTCATCTTTTATCCCAACCTGATGAGTGAAGTTGCAAAGCTCTTCCCACTGCCCTTCCCCTGTGTTTTCTTCATCAACATTTCATGGCCCTTGGCATTAATATTTGCTTCTGTTTGTTGCCGAGTTGCTACGTTTTACAGCAGAAGCAGAAAAATAAGGCAGTACCTCCTCTCCACGAGGAAATCTGGGTCAGCCTTTCGGAAAACACAGTTCAACACTCTTCAAAGTACAGCAGGTTCACAAGCAAAACTAAGTGTTTACACTGCAGTCACTTAGTGCAGAAATGTTTGTTTTCTGGCTATAAGATGAGAAAAGTGCTTTCAGGTTTTCCTCTGACTCTGCAGCTGGGATCAGGATAGAAGACAGAGCAAAATTAATCTTTAATGACTCAATAATGCCATTCTTTCATTTTTGACATCTTGAATCTGCCTTATGGTCAACATTTAGACGTATTCCCTGACTTATTTAGCTGGACGTGGATGCTGCTGGAATCGTCAGACCTCTACAAACCCCATCTGACCCAGGCTGCAGCGGGGTCTCAGTGGTGCATCATCTTCACACTCAATTCAGCAACAGAAGCTGTGAGTGCTTAGTGTAAAGAGTGGATGAGATTACTGTAGACTGCAGGAGGCACCATCCATCTCTGCTGAGAACTGATCCTCTTGGTTTCCTGTATTTTCTTGTGTTTTTATATGTAATTTAGCAAAAATTGGGATTCTGTGGTGTTTTATTTAAGATAGTAGACAGGACTGTTAATTGAAGTGACTGATTGTTCCTATCCAAGGCTGTATCTTGGCAACAGTGGATAACTGGTAAAAATGGTTGTGTTTACACTCAGTGGCTGTTCTGTGGCTTTTCATATTTAGTAACGTGTGGGAGGTGAAGTGAGCTTTTCTTTTTTTAAAATAAAAGGCACTAAAATGATGACAAACGAACCTTTAAAATTGGGCCTGATTCGTGCGTCATACCCGGACGTGCGACCCATGAGCGAGTCCAGAAAGTCTGATGGAGACATGCTGGAGGAGGATCTGGAATCGTGCTCCTTGGCATCCGTGACTCTGGATCACACACATGGTAAGGGGAAAAAAACATCAGGGGATCTCGATCAGGGGGAAAAAAAGAAAGCCACAGCTCAGAAAGCAGGAGTTAAACCTTATCTGTCGCCTAGCAGCGGCAGCAGCAGCTGCCTGGGGTGATGGCCACGGAAACCAGAATAAAATGTGTTAACGCGCGTGCAGGAAGGCCATCGGATGGAATTTCGACGTGGTGGGTGTCTCCCTCAAAAGAGGATTAATCTGTTCATAATGAAAGATTCCTGCAGAGATACCGCAGCGTGCAGCCAATTTCAATAAGAAATGCTGATGAAATGGCTCAAAATAACCGAGAATGAATGCAATTACGTGCGTAAATCTCTAAGTACTTGTGATTCAAACGTATGTTTCAGGGAAGGACGTTAAATCTAATATTTCAGGGACACTAAAATAACCCGAAAACGAACAAATAAAAACATCAAAAGTGTTACAAATGTATAAGTTTTCAAATTTAAGCAATACATTTCAAAATGAGAAAAACACGCACTGATACTTCGCGTTTTTTTCATTACTTGAACGAACTTGGAAGTTTAAAATAAACAGGCGTGAAAATCGGATCTGACATTACCTGAAGTTGTTGGTCTCCATGAAACATGTAAATAAACCTGCCAGGACCCGAATGAAGGAGTGACTCATTCCCGGTGGCTTCCCCATGTGCTCACTTTTCTGTTTCTTCCACGCGTTTCCATTTGGTCAGACGCATAATCCAGGCAGGGACGCCGCTTTCTTCCTGACCAAGCCTGACCAATACGGGAGACATTCCTCAGCGCAACCGGAGACCATAGTTTAGTTTGTGGAAACTCACAAAATCAGGCTGCGAGGAAACATCACGAGGAGAAAAGATGTAAACTCCAGCACAAAAAACGCACCGACGCGCGGCTCCGGTTCGGCGTCGGCTCGAGGCTCTGACAGCTCCTCCTGTTAACTCGCTGTGGGCTCGTCGTCCTGATTCTTATGAAGTGAAGCCGCTTTAAGGTGGTGGTGGGCGGGGGAGCCGTGGTAAAAACAGGGGGAGAGGAACGCCTTTCTTCGGTTCAGCACTTGGACAGCTCCCGGGTTCCTGACGCGCAGGCGCAAGGCGTTTAAAAGTGGCATACGTGAGCGGGGATTTAGTAAGTCTATTAAACGAAGAAGGTAATCACCTGGTAGAGAGTTAAACGTTTTCTTTGACGTGCTACGTGATGATGGTTCAGTTTTAAACGCGAGATTTTGTTCGCTGAAATTATCTGGGAAGAAACTCCCAAAGCGTGCAGAGGACCGATTGGCTTTTCTATAGAATATTCTTCTTGTGTGCGTGTTTTTTAGGTGTAATTGAATACAATAATCCCCATTGATTGCGTGAAGGGGGTGACTCCACTTACAACCATGATATTTCATGCTATTCAGATTACACACTGATTTATTGCTCGCCGGGGAAGAATAACATTAGACTGACCCCCACTCCGTCCATGACTGTATTTCTACACACCCCATCCCCTCATGTCTGTTCAACCCAGCCTACATACTGTGATGTAAAATAGAAAAAAAAGGAGTGTAAACAAAAGGACGCACCAGCCAGAAACCGCTGGGAGAGTATTCGGTACCCTGGTTGCCCTGGAAACAGATTTCCAAGGCACATTGCTGGAAATGCTGAAAGGTTGGCCTCCCAGAGCGAAACCGAAGAGAGGAGACTGATAGTCACAGACGCAGACGGGAGGAAATATGCTACAGGTTGGTGGAGCGCCTCAGGGTGGAAGAGCTGAGGTTTACAGGCCACCACACTTTTTAGATTAAATCCCTGATATCGATGGAGATTTTGGAGAAGTTGCTGACAGTTTGAGAGTAAGAGTGGGTTTGTGAGAGGCTTCATGAACCACAGGCATGAATGACTCATTCCACATGAACACACAGACATGTGCTGTGGAGGAAGCATCTAAACTTAGTGAGGGGGAAAAAAATCTTTCATTCACATCAAGCCAACCACGAGCATTGTGCATGTGAGATCTCTCCCGACACGTCTCCAGCACCGCTCGGGGCCTCGTTTTAGACTGGAACTTGGTTATTGTCCAGTTAGCGGATCATCGTCAGCTGGAGGTGAAGCAATCCTCCTCCCATTAGAGCTTCAGACTGAATTACGAGTGTCAGATTGGATCTCATGCTTGGAAATGTCTCATCTGGGGTGTCGAGACGAAGCCGTTCGCATGGCTTCTACTGCAGCATGTTCTCTAGCATGAATACTTAACACTCATCTTAATTATTTAGCAAAAGCTTTGCTTTTAATTAACACACTTTGCTTTGTCTTGCAGCTCAGGAGTTACCTATCATTCTTTATTTGGAAGCTTGTGGTGTCAAAATGTCAGCAGCACCAAATTCCTGCTCTTTGATGAATCTACATCAAACTGATAAGAGCCAGAATTATCTTTTGCACTTATTATTTTATTCCTCATCTCAGAGGCAGCTTCAGTTGGCATGTCTGCGTTATGACAACCCACCAGAGCTTCAATTGGCCATTAGTTTCCACGAGAGATGACTTCGGGCCAGGTAGGTCACATAATTAAAGAAGAACAAGTCAGATGTGCATGTTAATGAGGGAGGAGATGGATGTTTGCCTCCTTTTCCTTGGTGAAAGGAGAGAATAAAGGCAGAGCCATCATTTTTGTTTTTGACAGGAAGTGCTTCTGTAAAGCTGTAAAGATAAATCACAGGCTCAAGAATCAACAGTGGGGTTTTTACAGCTGCCCACACACCACAACGATTGGTCACTGTGCTGACTTTATTAAGAACATCACATTAACACGGATTTGCAGGAAGACGCATCGCTTAGGAGTCGTGTCCTCAGACACAAAGACAATTTCCTAAAGAGGAAACAAAAGCAGCTGGGAGCCACAGATCTTGGGGCTAGGTGGTTGTCGACGATCCCGTCGGTCACAGAGGAGTCAAGGATTGACTGGGAAGCTCACCTGGAAACAACAAGCCAGACTTTACCACCCTGATGCTCACGGGCACTGAAGTGGAGACAATTTAGAGCTGCACAGAGTCCGTTGCTCCATTGATTCCTCGTATCTTTATCCTATTTTAAGGTTTCTTTCCCCCCGCGTTATAATTCAACTCATGGAGCCATTCCCAGGCCCTGGTGAAGAGATGTAGGGAAATAACATGTGGTGGAAGCCGTTTCCACAGTGGCATGCCTGAGGAAAAATGCAAAGGCTTTAATGAGAGGATTCCTAAAGAGAAGGGAGGGATTTGAGAAGTCTCCAGTGCCAAAACACCCAACGCAATTACCTTAAGCTCTCTGTCGTAGCAGAATGAAGCTACAGTATTTTCAGGCTCCTGCACAGCACACCGGAGGATGATCATTTTAGGTTTTACAGCACACACAATCTGGCTGCAACAAAGACATGTGCAATAATGCTGCACAGACACAAAAAGTGTGTGAGCCACAGGTGAATGAATGCACAGCCATATGAGCTCACGGGGATGCTGCTCCCTGTTGGTGGTGCTCACCCTTTAGGCTAAGTGGAAGGTGGTCTTCACTGAGGCTCATCTGCCAATCACAGCTTCCCCCTTATCTGTGGGAGCATTCTATCAGAGCCTTTCCCCATCACTGAGTACTGAAAAAAAGGGAAAAACACTGATCCTCAGTCGAGACCTCCACATACACACCATCTTCTTGGCTAAAATGAAAATAATGCCACAACAAATTTGCAGGAAGGATCTTAAACGTTAACAACTCTTTCCACTTTGTTAAGCAATTACTCTCCAAGCGGCTGCAAATCCACCGTGTTCTCGCTCACATCTACACGTCTCCGCTGAGTTCCAGTTTCGGTGCAGTCACCCGAACCCTAAAAAGCACACATGCACACACTGTTTTCCCAGCCGGTGTCTGCCGCATGTTGACGCTGGCTCCCAGTTTATCTGTTTCCAGCTTGCAGGCTTGTCTGGCTGTGCAGCTGCCAAAGTGATGCAAAAAAAAAGATGGGAGATTGAATGCAGTTCAATTGCTTAACTAGTTTCTATCAGTTCTGCCTTTCAGTGCAGCTTAGATGTGCGTTATGGGAGTAATTGCCAACGAGAGGACACAGGCTGAGCTGCAGTTTTTTTCCCCATACTATTTTTGAAAGATATTAATAGGAAGACTAATCTCCTGCATGCAGAGTGCTGTGGTAAAATACAAATAGTTGTTGATTTTCTGGGTCTGTGTGAGTTTTCTCACACTGTGGTGAGAAGCTTCAGCAGCTGGGTCAAAGGAAACCGGAGCACATTTTGATTCATGTCATACAGCAGACAGTTACGCAGCTCAGAAGCTTACTGCTGGGAAACATGACATGATGTGCTTGCATAAACATGGCGTCATGAAATTGTGTAGCATGCAGCTTGTCCGACGACAGAACATGTTAGAGATGACTGCAAACCTCTTGTTTGAGAAGGGAAAATAATCTAAAGAAGTTGATTTTACCTGGAAAATCTTAATGATCCCTTTCAAGTTTTTTCACCATTTTTCACAAATTTACTAATTATTTCATTATTTTCTTATGGTGGGTTATTAAATATTCTATAATAATCTTTTTGTCAGATTATCATGCTTCAATTTAAGCTCTTGTTTTGTTTTAAAGCCCTTTGGAAGTGAATTGGCGGTGACAAAGCGGCTGTCAGAGCAAATATAGCATCCTTTGAGCTACCAAAACTTTCTTATTCTTCATAAAAATGCAATGTTTTATTCATGTGTTTCATAATTTAGCCATACTATTTCACATGAGGATTTTTTTCTATTATTTATACAAGAGGGGCTGTGCTATTATAAGATTAGTGTTCGTGTAATAGTGAACACGTTATGTGTAGAGATGCTATTAAAAGCTTTGATGATTTAGAAGGAATGGGAGTGCTTTCGTGTGCTGGGGTGGATATTTTTTAGTATTCTAGATGATTTTCATAACAAGCCACACACTGTAGCTTAAATCTGTGCCATTTGTGATTGGAGATGAAATGCTGCCCAGTCAAGCGACACAGGGGTTGAAGGTCCACCTGCGATGGAGGCCAGGGAGCCTACGGGGCAGCAGTAGCTCAGGTGGTAGAGCGGGTTGCCTCATGATCGGAGGGTCATGGGTTCGATTCCAGCTCCCGCCAGGGGTATCCTGCTGTTGTGTCCTTGGGCAAGACACTTCACCCAACTTGCCTGTGTTAGTGGTGGTCAGAGGGGCCGACGGCGCCAAATGGCAGCCTCGCCTCTGTCAGACCTCCCCAGGGCGGCTGTGGCTGCAAGTAGCTTACCATCACTAGCAGTGTGTGAATGTGAGAGTGTGTGAAAGCGTCTTTGGGTGTCTTGAAAAGCGCTATATAAGTTCAATGCATTATTATTATTATTATTATTATTACCCACATGGAGGCAATGCAGGTGACACAGGAGTCACATGAGGCAAGTCTACTGTAGAACCATCTCCCTGGACACCAACAGGGACATGGGCAGAATCAGCTTAGATTAGGACCAGGTTTCAGTGGCTGCATGGGAGCATCTGCGACTTTGTGCTGAATGGAGGCTGGGACTAGGTTTTTATTACAGGCTGCTTAGAAAGCAGAATTTCTTCAATTTGAAAAAAAAATACGACCAACTTTTTCTGTTTGGTGGAGTTCTAAATGGTAAATGGTCTGCATTAGTATAGCACCTTTTTAGGGTTTTACAACCCCCCCAAGGCGCTTCACAACACAATCTGTCTTTCACCCATTCACAGACTAGTCATGATGCGCTACATTGTAGCCACAGCTGCCCTGGGGTGCACTGAAGGAAGCAAGACTCCCTCTCATTTAAATCTACCGTCCGCCCCTCTCTGCAGCACAAAGCATCCTGCAAGGCTCACGTCTGGTCAGACACTTGTCTGGAAACGGCGACGGCGATTTCAGGTGAGAGGCAGACGTGATGCAGAGCAGAATTAAGGGAACTGAGGACAGCTGTGGCTGGAACGTGTCGAAACACAGATCACTGCGAATAGAAAACCAGAATGCCAAAAACATGGGACTGAAAAACTAAAATGAATACAAAGTAATTATTAAAACAATAC